ACGTTTTTTATAAAACCTTGTGAACTTTTTCGGCAAAAAATTGTGCAAATAATTGAAATCAATAATTTTTCGATAAAAGTAACGTTATATTGACAGTAAATATTAAAATAGTACAGAACATTTTGTTAGTATAAAACATTTGTTTAACTTCGGAGGTGAAAATAAATGTGTAATAAAGGTAATTTTTTCTATGATTTAATTTCAAATCAAATATTTAAGTTGTTGTTCTATATAAAAAGTTTTGTTCTATATAAAAAGAAGCTTAGTGTGTTACAGGAAACTGACATTTACGAAATTGTTTTTGCCAAAGAAAAAACAACCTCAAATGGAATACGCTTGAAAAGTTTGGCAGAATTATCATATACATATATATATATATGGGTGTGTTTCATATTTCATGAGATTTATGTATACAAACCCGAGGCGTCGTCGACTAAAATTTATTTGTTTTTTTTTAAATATTGATCTTTGTTTTTTTTTTTACGCATATGAAAACTTAAAATGCAAAGATTGCTGTGTGGAATCAAATTTCCTGAACATTCAAAAACCAAAAAATAGCATCGAGTTAGAAACAGATATCTATAAAATTTCGACAAACTTGTTTTTGAGAGAGACAAATTTTTTTATACTTATTGCTATATTCGAACGTATTTTGAAAAAGCAACATTTGTAGATTTAAACATTTTAAACGTTTGCAATTCCGCGCGCTTTCCAGAAGTCGAATTGCTCCAAGAGTTAAACCTATACAAGTCCCCGAAAATCCTAAAATTAAAAAAAAAAGAGTTTGTTACTTTGTAAGTTTTCTGAAAAAAAGTTTCTAGTTTCTTCATGAATTCTGTAAAAGAAGGATTTTAGTCTTGAACCTTTTTCATTTTCCGGCTTATCTTGCCCTCTTTTACCGCTCTGAAGGATCGCTTCGAAGGTGAAAATTTATAACAGCAACGATCGATTTAAAAGGCTTGCAGGTTTCCGCCGCTCTTCGCACGATTCAGAATTTCGCTATCCGCAAAAAGGGAGACGTTTATCCTGAGTTCAAATCACTCGTTACTCGAAAGTTTGATCGCTTCAGGCACTCGACACGCTTTGCTCGAAATCTCCCCGCTGTGAAAAACCTTGAAAGCCTCGGCATGTTGTGCGTACAAAACCATCATTTTCTAACGTCGCTGTTTTCATTCAATTATAATATTCCAACACGCATTTTGCAGAGAAGCTACTGCAATGATAGATTACTACCTTATTATCCTTTACACATGGATCTTTAAAACGATATTGAAAACCTCTTTTTCTCTTTACTTCTCTCTCTTTTTCTCTCCCCTTCTGTCAGCTCAAAAAATGTAAATGTAATTTAAAAATTGTTTACATATATATATTTGCATTTATAGACAAGTATATATATATTAGAAATACCAGGGCTGTGTTCGCACAGAATGTGGTAATTAATTCAGACTAGATTTTTCAACTTTTTTTAACTTTTTTTAATTTTTTTAACTTTTGTTGCTTCATATAAAGTACAAAAAAATATATATATATAATACATATTTTTTTCTATTTATAACATAATAAATAAAACATAATAGCCTAAAACAGTGGTCTGATTAAATGCAAATTGGTATTGTTCAATTTTATATGCTTACTATGTCTGTAAAAAAGTCGAAAAACAGTAGAAAAATTTAACAGTAGAAAAAAACATTCGGTAAAATTGTAACATTACCGTGAGGATTCTTGTTCCGTAAAAGAAATAGTACAAAAAAACTAGGAGTTCTAACGTCTTTGGCCGGATATACCACAAGAATATTTGCTGTTACAAGCAAGTGTCTTAATATTATTTATTAAGCGCGCTTATTTATTTCTATCCCTTTTTATTATATAAATATTATATTATATATAGAACAATTTTTAACAATAAGTTTGTTGTTCAATATAACTATTGACGTTAACAATATTCATTCAGATTCTGCGCACAGAATTCGTTGTGCGCGTTGCAAAATTCGTTTTTGCAAATTTATAATCGGACGCGTAGAGTAGAATATTAATAACGTTGTACACAAACCTATATTAGACACCAAACTCGCTTTTCTAATAATAAAAGCTTCGAAAAAAAAGAGTTAATTGCGACTGGCGAACAGTGGCACATGATGGATGGAAAAAAAAAGAGAGTATTAACCCACGTACCGCGTACTAGTACCTGGCACGATATTCTCGCGCTCAACGGAACAAAGTGATCGGTGATTTATGACGCCGCCTACCTCTGGCCGGACATTTCGGATAGAGGAAATAACGTGTCCCGGATCGGTCCGGGACAAATATCTCGCGAGTTGGACAGCCGCGTAGCGAGCATGGCTACCCATAGATATTTCAACGGTATGAACGAGAACAATGCAAAATTCACACGAGTGAATACACACGCAAGGACAACAAAAAAATTACGTGTACAGACTAAGAAAATGACTATAAAGCGCACCAATCAAGTTGGCAATCAATAATGACGAAACGAATATTTTTCTCGCTTAGGGTAAAAGACCCAATTATTGTCACCTGAATGATAAACTCTGGCGTTAGTGAATTGTTTTTACTTTTATTTATCAAAAACATGTGTTTTTCTTCTTATCTGGTATTATTCAATGTCTCTAATATAAGAAAAAAAAATAATACGTCTCTCAAAAAATCTCTATTTTTATTTATAAATTTAATAATTAAAAAAGAACGATGCGAGAGCTATTACTGTTTTACCCCTAAAGTAAAAGAAATGAGACAAGAATGTTGAGTGCTGGATTTTTTATTATATTAATTGCACTTAAAATTCTATGTTAGATTTTTTCATGCATAACTTTTTAAGATTTATTTGATATTTTAAATAAAATAGCTTAGGGTGACAGTAATTGGGCAGGTGACAGTAATTGGGTTTTTAACCCTATATCGGAATTTGATCAAATATTGTCCGAATTGTTTTTCGGAATTATCGAATTACATCTCGATATATATGTATGTATAGCTCGAGTCTCTTCCTTTCTCTCTCTCTCTCTCTCTCTTTTTTTCTCTCTTTCTCTCTCTTTATAGCGCTCTCACAGCGTCTCGTGATCCTTCAAATTAATTCCCGCTCCTATTCTACTTTGAGCTTTCAAATCGATTTCTATCACCGTCACATAGATTGAAATACGCGTATTTCGGTAGTTTATAGGTTTAAAAGAAATTAAAAGTTTTTTTGTACTTTTGCTTTTTTTAAGAAAAAAGATATAAAATATTTTAAGAAATGTCGGCTATCTTTTGACACGTGTATATGTTTACTCTTCTCTCTAAAAAAAAAAGTAAATCCTTATAATAAAAAAAAAAAATAATAATAAATCAATTAGACTCAACAAAATTACGTGATTTATCAAAGTAAATTGTAACATTAAGTGCGCAACGCGTTTTACGTGTGTCACGCATTTTGAATAAAGGAAAAGATGAAAGATTTAGATAACACAAAATACATACGCATATATGTATATAAAACAAACAGAAAATACAAAACAATAGTGACAAAAGCACATGAATTATAAAAAAGGAATCGTCCTTCGTGTAAACTACGCATGCAAATCTCCGGTAGAACGAGCGACGTTGCTCGCAAGCAACTTCAGTCAAGGAGTACGGATACGTTGAATGCATTAATAACACAGCGAAATGCTCGTCGGTGTATATATACAGCGGATAATCCAGTGACGTACGTGAATATGCAGTTTCGCTTCTGCGAAACGTGGCGCACACGAAACAGTAATTGTGTTTGACAGGAATTGTGTTAAATTCCTTACCGCTTCGCATCTGTCGTTTTGTTTCGAAAGAGCTCTGCGCTCTAGGCATTTTCGTTTGCTTTCTCAGAATTAGAACATTATCTCGATCAAAATCATAAAAAAAAAAAAAAAAAAGAACAAGAAAAACACATTAATCCGATGATTCGATAATCGCCAACCTTTAAGCGCGGTATATTGCAACGAATGTAATTTATTAAATTCTCCTAAATCCTGCGGGGATTCCGGACTTGCACTGCTATTTCGGTTAATATAAAAGTTAAGAGACAGGATGTTCTTAACTATATCACAGATAATCTTATCTACATCCGAATCAGATTAAAAAGATACCTAACGGATCTTTTGTGAAAAGTTAATAAACTTTAAAAGTTTAATAAGATTATAAAGTGAGTAATTCAAGGAGAAAGTTATTGATTACAAATTTTTTTCCAAAAGTTTTTCTCGAAGAATATACGCACAACACGAGAAACACGATAAAAAAAGTTTCTAATTTAAAGTTTTTTACGTTGCTATTTCAATCTTTTTACATTTTCGAGTCTCAGCATGTTGGAACAGAACTTTTGGATGTTTCTTGATAATTGTAAAAATCTAGTTGAATAAGTTACTCCAACGTAGAGTAACAGTAGAGTAATAGAGTAACTCTCAGAACATGACAAGTAGAAAAGTTTTGTTCATTAAGTCAATTGTTCTTTTTTTTAAATATGATTTGGAAAGCTTCTCTGTGAAACACTTTGTACTTTATATTGTAATATATATTACGTATGGAAAATTTATATTGGTACGCACTGCATATATTAACATTCCACAGTATTGAAAAAAAATTGTACGTACGAATAAAAACTGAAATATTATAACATAAAATGCTATATTCATATTGCGTGTGATATAAACCTTTTTAAATAACCACAAGTAAAAAATGTTTACGCGACCGCATTAGATAACTTTTAATGTATATGTTAGTGTTAATTTTTGAAATAATTATATCCATTCTGTAATTACATATATGTATATATCTCAATTAAATCTAAATAAAAATACAGAGCGATGTTGTTGCAAACTCGAATGAAATATTACAAGAAAAAAAATGTCAAAATAATTGAAATTTATCTGAAAATCAAAATACATTCCGTTAATAAAGTCAAAGCTTAATTAAGTAGCATTCCGAGTAAATGCGCGTGAGAATATGATTAATTCCTTCTGTCCTGTGTTTTGCAGGATATTTTCCGTTGTCGCCAGTTTGTTGTCTTGCCTGGATTTGTCTCGATGTGCTCTTCTGCACCGCAAGTATAATGCACTTGTGCACCATCAGCGTGGACCGTTACCTAAGTCTGCGCTATCCGATGAAGTTCGGACGCAATAAGACCAAGAAACGAGTGACTTTGAAGATCAGCTTTGTATGGTTCCTCAGCATCGCAATCAGCCTGCCCTTGAGCCTAATGTATTCGAAGGTAGGCTTTCTTATCTCCAGATGTACTCAAACACATTTTATTTTACAATTATAATTGTATTAAAAATGTACAAACACACAATTTCCGAAAAGAAATTAATATATTATTGTTAAAAAAATCGATACCTGGGAAAAAATGGATTAGATTTAACTTAAATTTAACGAGATAAAAAAAATGATCTAATTAGATCCAAATTAAATCTAAATAGATATAAAGTAGATCTAAATAAATATAAAGTAGATCTACTTTATATTTAGATCTACTTTATATCTATTTAGATTTAATTTGGATCTAATTAGATTTCTATTTTTCCATTTTTTTTTATCTCGTTGAATTTAAGTTAGATCTAATCCATTTTTTCTCGGGTATATTTTTATTTTTACAATCGTAATACTTTCTCGCTACACATTTCGCTCAAAGAAATCATTTTATAACGTTTAAAAGATTGCACGGTTTTGCCCTGCAAAGTCTACCTCTTAAATAAACGAAGTTAGAAGCAAATCTCGATAACGAAAATTTATCGCTACTCACAAGAAGCTGTCGCTCATCGATCATTCCAGAATGCACGATACTAAGTAGATTTATATTGAGACTGCATCACGCATGGCGCCGTTTTTCATTCGGTTTCATGCCAAATAAAGCAGCCACGATTTATTTTCCAAGCCACAAACGAAATTAGCGCACGAAATGATGCGACATTACTTTTATAAAACAAGTTGTTGTAGCTGCTTCGAAACGCGGTCACTCGTAAATTTTTGTCGCGCGACGTAAAGCAACGTTTCGTTGCGTTTGTTCAGCATTTGCTCCGAAGATCATGACAGATTTCACTGTAAAACAGTGAGTTTACAACATGCAGTCCGGAAAATTGCACCCAATTTTTGCGCGAATTATAGTTTGTTTAATGTTTTCATTTTAAAAGTTAAATTTATGTAAATTTTTTACTATGTTTTATACGCAAATTTTTTTTTCAAGGTTTAATTTTTATTACCGTATATGTATAGCGTTTTGTTTTTCCATAGTCTTTTACGTTTTGTAGTTTTTAAGTCGTTATCGTTATATGTGTTTAAGCAAAATACAAAGTAATATGCTGTCGGACTAACAAAGATGTTTCAACAAAATGTAATTACACGCATCATCTTCAATTTTCCGCAAATAAAAGCATGGTTGCAAATTTCTCGGAAACTATCTCTACATAGATTTTACTGTGTACATCTAAAAGGTTATTTTCTTACTTCAAGCGTGCTCGTTGTAGAAGCTGCTACGGCTTGCAAACTGCTTTTGCAAATGCGCGAACTACTTTCGTACCTTCATGCAAGAAAGGAAGAGAGAGAGAGAGAGAAAAAGGAGTACGCACCGCAGAACAGCGCATCGACAAGTTCGTCGCATAAAGTTTCGACAACTTTGCAGCACCATTTACCGCCGCGTTGCCTTACCTTTAGGTATTGATCCAAATTTCACGGCCGACACATGGTTCATTCAAACTTCCGTCCATCTTCAACGTGGTTTGTCCACGACATTATCTGTGTTATTCTGAAAGGGACAAAAATATCCCGTGCTGGTCGTAACACACGCGTATATTTTACATTTCTTAGCGTTTTGAAATTATTTCATTTTTTAATTTTGTTGTACACCGCGTTGTATAGATTTATGTAAGAATATAAAATTCATCATGGTAGATTTTTTTTCTCAAGTTAATATAATGCGTCGGAAATGTTTCTTTTTCATTTTAAATTTTACTGTGAAAAATTAAGAAATACATGGATATCTCTTCTCCACGTTTTTCATCAAGTTTACAACGTCACACATTGATCATTATATATATTGACTGACGTCACAGCGGAATTTACACGAACACGTGCAAATGGATGTACACGTGCGACGTCGGTCGCAATCTTGTTACAAGAGAATGTCCATCTTCTCCGTTTGCAGTGTTATGATAACGTTCAAACATTGACCACCAGAAAATCAGAATGCGAGCTACACAGAAATGACGGAAACTGAAGACGGAAACATCTCTCAAGGAAAATTTATGTCAACAAGCCACATCAAACACGGTGAATTATCAAATATATTGCGCAAGCTTCTCACTAATTTCCGGAATGAAGCGTTTAAACAGACATTATTAGTGTTTCTGTGTGTACACGTAAGAGTCGTGAAATAATTAACAAATAATAATTACATATAAAAAGTTATTAAATCAACAAGATATCTGACAGAAATGATCTCGAACAATATTTTTAGTTTTAAGCATCTTTATAATGTAATTTTGATGAAATTATAAAAACTGCGGGGGAGATAAACCAATTATACTAATATATTGTACTATTAATATTTAATAATATTAAAATTAAAATTGTAAATATGTATAATAGCATTAGTATATATAATGTACATATTATTTATATATTAATATTTATAATTTTGAAAAAATAAATTTATATACATGAAACAGCCAATAAATCAAGATAATTAACGTACAACATATTAAAATATCTTTCTTGTTTTCTTTTAATAAAGTTTAACAGGAGAAGGTTTTTAATAAACCTAAAGTAAAAGTTAAAAAATTAAACACACACACATACCTACGTTATCTCTTATAAAGATTTTTATCTATAAAACTAACTAACTAAATTTGCGAAGCTACTCATAAAGTTATATTCTTGCCTCTTTGTTTAACAATCTAATTTGAGAATTACAAGGTTGAGCGACAGACAACACAAGTGGCTGTGACGCAATTGCTTTATTCGAGCTCGCAGTGTTTCGCTGATTAGATAGACACGCAAGATGAAATTTATGATAAACAGTAAAAAAACATGTGAAATATTAACAAGAAACCAGCGAGGACGTATTGCGATTATATATCGCACTGACGTATGACAAAATGGGATAATAGAATAACTCATGTTTTCAATTCTTAATCTTCAGTATATTCAAATGGCTCAGGCGGATCAGCTTCCTTCTCCTCTTCTGGTTTTGGTCCAAAAGCTGAAATCAAAAGTATACACATTTCATACTGTATGTGTATCAAAAGTATACACATTTCATTAATCAAGCTTCCGACTCTGTGTGTGTGTGTGTGTGTGTGTGTGTGATTCTAATAATTTATTTTTAAAACACTGTACTGTAATTTACTACACTTTTTTTCTCAAAAAAACCTAAAAAAATAAAATATTGAAAACAACAAACTGTTTTTATTGTTAAAAAAATATTGCGTTATTAATATAGAAAATTCTCTACGCATCCACATAAATTATATCAATTGCCTACACGGACAATGAGTTATTCAATACACAAACAAAATGATTAAGGCAGTTTGATTTAGAAAAGTTTAAAAGTACACTGCTAATCTTGTTTTTTTTTAAACTTTAATTAAAAAAATTGATTTTTTCTAGAAAAAATGTAATCATTTTGTAAAAAATATAAAAAAAAAGAATCAAATCTAAGTTCGATTACTCACCGGCGACAGGCTCAACAAGTTCCTCTTCGGTATCGGTCTGTATGTGCTTGACCATAACAATGCCACCGATCTGAATGTCCTTGACGGGAACATAATGGCTGCTCTCAACCAGCTGAATAACCTTCAACTGCTGACGCAATACCCGCGCAGGATTCTGAAGAATTTCAAAACTCGGCTCGGATTCCTTCTTCTCCTTCTCGTCATCCTTGCCTCCTTTCTTTTCGATTTTCTCTTTAGATTCTTTGACTTCTTTCTCGGTAACTTTCTTGTCATCCTTTTCCTTCGGAGATGCTACAGTTTCCTTTACTTCTTGAAGCTCCTTCGTCTCTGAAGGAGGATCCTGCAATTTTGCGTTAGATTTGCTTCCTCTACGCAGTATAAGTTTGTGGTATAAGTAGCGTACCCTGCGGGGGTTTGATTTTGCTAAATCTGTAATCTATATTTAGCGTGTTCTTCTCATATAGTGTTTTTTTTTCTTTTGCTTCATATATGTCATACATTTACCACAAAGATTCAGGATATGGAAAATCCTTCGGGTGAATTACTGATGTGTTTTGAAAAAAAATTTAATTATTTTCGACGAGAAAGATGCAAAGGACAGTTTTGCTTTGTTGGAATTCAACTTTCTAACGTGTGCGTGAGAAAAAGAGAGAAAATCTGCCACTCATTTTTATATAAAATAGTAACGTGCTTAAATTTAGAACACATATGACAGTACACGCAACATGTACACAAAATAAAATTGTACAAAAATGTACAAAAGTATGTAAGGATTTACATATATTATATTTAAAGTTACATATTATACATTACATATATTTTACTATATTTGAACGTTATTTCTCAGTACATCAAAATTTCTAAAAAATCTTATGATCGAAAAATATTGTATGATTTATTTTACGATTTTAGCAGGACAAAAAAGAACAGCCACACAGGGTACGGTAAAATACACAAGAAAAATAACATGAATAATTATTAAGAAAAAGTAATTTTTCTGTATCTGTACAGAAATGGAACCGCTTATATGTTCGCCGATTCGAGAGTGTTAATCGACATATGCGAGAATGAGGTAGACTAATTTTTTAAAGAGACAAAGTTTCAACTGCACAAAAGAAAACGCATTAAGCGTGAGCGAGATAAAACCAGGTAGTTTGATTGTTTGACGTAAAAAAAAATCGGATTCTCTTTTATGTCGTAGAGATAAAGTCACTGACATGTGACTTGTTTGTCACATGTCAGTTCAAACGAAACCGGTACACAAGCCATTCCCTTTGCTATGTTTCTTTTCGTGATATATGCACAAAGTTTCAAAAGTTTTGTATGGTTATTCACGCTATTTTTCTCCGGTTCTAAAGTCTAACTTACTTAGATCTAAACAAACCTTACACACAACAAAACATTGTGATATGTTTTTTCAAAACTCACCACTTCCATCTTCTCTTGCAAATCCCTGGCTTTTCTTTCGGATTCGCGCCTTCTGGCGCGAGCGGCTAGACTGAGAATAGCAATAGTTGCTTTCTCCCGTTCCTCCCTTTTTTTCTCCTCGAGTGGCGCAGGATAAGCGTACACGCTCGGCCTGACGTTCGACCTGATCTCCAATTTGGGCATCTTCAGCTGAGCATTCAGGGCGATTAAGCACGTAGGTGTAAATGCTAGAGCTAGACAGTGCGCCAGTGGAAACCAATACCAGTATTGGGTAAACACCAGGGCACCAACCACCGCTAACATGTTTGTATGTCCGGTTCGTGACTGCAAAGACACGGTAACGTTGCGACCGCCTAAAAAAATACGCGGAAGTTCGTTTGTATTAATCTGCAGAGATGCAATCGTAATTTTTATTATTATTTCTTTTGCGGTCGCAAAAGATTTTTATCAATATTCGAATCTTTTTCAAACGTCTCACCGGCGTCAATAATTCCTTGCGCTAGAATAGCTCCAAATTTGGCCATCACATCTTCGTGCTTGTCTACGACGACCTTAGCGTACAACGCTCTGAAGTCTTTAACGCGAGGACACGTAGATTCTGTTTGCTGGATCAAAATCATTGCGGAGGCAATCAGTGCGCCCTGCCTGACAAAATTCACTGGATCATTAGTCATCGGATCCAGTAAGGCGATGGCTTCCTTCAAACCGGTGCCTGCACAAGCGATCCCTAGCGCCATTGCCGCCCCGTACCGAACATGAGGATTGTAACTTTCAGCTAATAGTGACACCACGCTGGGACATTGTTCCGGAGTGCTAGAATATACATATAAAAGACCGTGATTCTACCTTTGACTTCTCTAGATAGGACGGTAGTTGCTTCAATATCTTCTCTATTTGTAACATTTATTTGATATTTTTCTATAATATACACCAAATAATATATTTTTCCGACAGATTCGCGTCGATGTTAAATTTGATGACTACGGAATACCTAAGTCTATTGCTACAAATAAACACATTACCGTACTTCAAACTGCTCTCCTAGATAAACAATCGAATCTAAGACGAAATGTGAAGAAAATATTATCGCATTATTATTTATTCAGGCACTAATGTATTAATTAATAAATTTGGTTATTCTGTGTTCTAGGACGATTCGGTGCTGGTAGACGGAGCCTGCCAGATTCCTGATCCTCTCTATAAGTTAATTGGAAGTATAATTTGCTTTTATATCCCGCTGGGCGTGATGCTGCTGACATATGCGTGGACAGTAAGACTCCTTGCGAAACAACAGCAAAACATCGGTGGGACAGGACCAGGTTGGTCACTTAAATGGTACAGCGCTATTCAGAGTTGCGGGATATACCAAGCTACAGCTATCGCAGCACATACCGACCCTATTTTTATTGAGGATAAAGAAACTCGTATATTTTAACGGTGTTTTGTCTTCCAACGTTTCTTTCTTAAAAAATTCAACATTAAAAAAAGAAAAAAAACATAAATTTCAATAAAAGTGAAAAATAAAATTTAAACGTATAAAAATCAGATAATAACAAAACAGACAGAACTGCTACTACATAGCTCTACCGCTCTTATCGCTTTTTATACTTTTTTTTTTTACTGTTTGTTCATTGACAATACTCTCGGTTTTTTTTTCTAAAGACTATGAGCACCGCTACAAAGACAGCTTACGATTTGCTTTCTCTTTGTTGGATAAAAATTATTTATTTTGATTTATCGGCCAGCTTCCGGAACTTCAAAGAGAAGCACGTTATAGGCATTTCACGAACGAAAATACTGGCACAACTCTGTACCGGTACAGAAGAGTCTCTCTCGGTAAAGTTAGTTTGTCTCTCTCCTCCTCCCTTTTCTCCCTCTTTTTCATCTTCCCGCTTTTCCGGAACAGAAAGTTTCATCAAGAATCCACTGTCTATTGTCGCTTTTACCCCGACTACTCTTCGATTACCACGTCAAACAAAATTTGCATATCAACCCGGAATGTATAGGCAGAACGCATCGAATGCGCTTACCTACGGTTATTGTGTAATAAAATTCTTGTTAAAATTTGTTCGTTCTTGATCGAATTACTTTGCAAGTTTTTAGAAAAACGATGAAAATTGTAGAGCAAAAATTTATCTTCTTATACACTCGTAGAAAGTAATTTTTTAGAATCAAAATAATCAAGAATAAATATCGGTTTTTTGTGATTTTTTTTCGTAAAATTTGTCTCACTAAAACTCTTTGTGCGAATTTTCCGAGTTTGAGCAGAGAGCAAGGTTTTACAATTACAGTCCGTTATACTTCGTCCGTTTACATGTCTATTGTGCAAACGTAGTTTGTGTGTTATCGCTGTATAAATAATTCAATATGCAGCGCAAGGAATGCACGACTTCTGACATATGATTAATAGTATCGGCGTTTTTTTTTTTTTTTTTTTTTTTTTTTTTTTTTTTTTTTTTTTTTTTTTTTTTTTTTTGTTTTTACTAAGAATTAGTTCCGAGATTGATGATGTATGTGATTAAGCGAGCTTCTATCTGAAAGTGGTTTTGCTACAAGAAATTTTATCAACACGTTAATGGAACCTGCTGACGTCCACGACGTAGATATGCAAATGTCGGTTATGCAAAGATTTCGGATGCGACACAGTATGCTAAAAGGCCGCCGGTGTCCGGCTACTCGTCAATATGAAAATTAATCGATATCTTGCGGCATGCAAGCTTCATTTGCATGCGCCTAGTATTCCTTAGAATGAAAAGAATCCACCGAATGCACAACACAAAGATTCATTTGCTTCTTAACAAAGAAAATATACTGATGAAAATATTCCGATGGATTAAAAAAGGTAAAAAAGAAAATAATTATCAAGAAATTGAGAATTTTATCTCAAAATTCAAGTAAAACAGTTAACATCATTAAAATATCATAATTTCGAAAAGAAAAAATAAAACTCAAATAATTAAAATTTCTCAATCTGTTAGATATAAAATTCTCCGATAAAAATAATCATCAACATTATACACGTTTTTCTTTCTCAATTTATCTCTAATAAAAATCAATTGAAATTTTATAAAATATATCTTTTTATTATAAAATAACAGTAAAAAGTTCTTTTTTTTCTGAGAGAGAAATCACTCGTCCAAAAATACTTTGTTCTTTAATTAAAGAAAAAGTTAATGAATTGTTTGAACAATTCTCGATCAATTTGCAGGACTTGAGCGACGAGGTACCTGGAGGAAGTTTCTCTTGAACAAGAGCTCTGGCGGCAGCGGCGGCACGCCACAACACACCTCCGGAACGTCAACCGACACCGAGCTAACCACACTCGACACCCACGATCTTTGGCTGCCGGAGAGCGAGCCTCCACCCTCGGCCATGTCTGCTCTTCATGCCTTCGGCGCGGAGATGCTCAAACTGTCGAAGGGTCTTGAGGGGATGGCCAGCAGCCCCGGAAGTCAAACGAGATCAACACCTCCGCATCAACAGCAGCAGCTATTACAGCTGCAGCACGCTTCGTCGCCTCGTAGATGCAGCTTCCGTAACGGGTATGCCGAGTATATTGCAATTCAGTTGTGTTTGTTTATCAGTTTTATACCATCGTCGAATTGTCTATTATTGAATAATCTGTTATAATTTATGCTTAAATTCGCGTGCATGCGAGTGTATGTTTTACATTTTAAATAAAAAATTTTTTAATAAAATAAAAGTAACTTAGATTATGTCGATATTTTTTCCTGATTTTGGTTATATATATATATATATATATATATATATATATCGATGATTCTAAATAATTATAATTCTAAAAATTATGATTCTAAACAATTATAATTCTTACACTTTTTCTACGTTCTCCTTTTGATTTTTAATTAACACAATTTCCTTTTGCGAAACGATAATCATGCGAGAGCGAATCTCGACGCGAAATTTGCGAAAAGACAATGTCTGAGCTTGTTTGGATTTCCGTGGCGGAAGCTCTCGCAATTAATAACGACGTATCCATCGTATCGTCGTAATCTGCGGACTCTCAAACCGCACCATTGTGCTTGACGGCGAGGCCGCTCCCGTGGCAATACGAAGTGGCACGAATTTGTGTCACTTTGTTTCACTTCGGGATTTCTCTCCGCACAACACCGTGACTATCAGAAGACGTGGTTAGCCTTGCGTCAAGTTAGCTTACGCTAGCATCCGGCGACGACGCGTTTCCGAGGAATTTATATGTCGCCTGATATAGTGTATGCACTCTAAGCAATTTTCTCGCGAAAATCTTAAGTAAGGAAATATTTTTATCGTTCACAAGTTTTACACTCGCGCGTGTTCGCCATTTAAATTCACGTCTTCGATTAACGCCTTCGACTGTTTTTCATTTTCTCACGATATCTTCATTAATAATAATCTCGCGAACACACTGTTTTTTTGAAAATATTAATTTCAATATTCAATGTAATTTAGTTTTTATTTATTTTTTTTTTTTAAGTCGCAAATGTATAATGTATAACTAATTATAACTAAGAAAACTCTCGAGACTTTATATTCATCGGAAAGTTTCAAGCAAAAAAAATGCACAAGAAGGAAGCCTGGAATACACCTCCTACGTATAGGATCGCTACTTTTACTTTGTAAAGGAAATGAAAGTAAGTGAGAGAAGGGGAAGAATTTTATTTCATCGCGTTTACAGCTTCTCTAACGTTTTTCTCGATCGATGGGAATACGCAAGCTAAAAGTAGAACGTTGAAAGTGCGTGGTGTGTGGCGAGAATTGTTAAACAATTTCTTCGTTCTCTCTCTACCATAGCAAAATACGATTTACACATAATTCACCGCGATCTGGGATCGTCGATTGTCTATTTTCATGAATATTCTCACTTTTCTCTCACTTTTTTATTTCAACGTGAGGAAATACGCGCGCGCGCGCGCGATTTGATATAGACGAAGCGAAAATACGATATCCCTTATCACCTTCTTCTTGAAAACGTGATACTCGCTCCAAGATGCACACAAGAGATTTTCAGAATGCAAATAGTTGGAAAAGTATCAAAGAGCAAAATTCTATCGTGAAATCAAACATACGGCAAAAATGTCTCAAAGTAAATTGATATAATATATCAAAATATATCAAAAATAAATATCTCGTAAACTGCGCTTTGTATAGTTCCCTTAGAGTTTTCTTTCCTGTTAATAAGATGTATTATAGTAACGAAAATTTTCGCAAAACCAGATTTCTCTGATGTAACAAATTCAATCTCTGTGTTTGTATAAGATTGTTGCATTTGTCGCATAAAATTTAACCGAAATCTTAGCACGAAGTTCAATTTTACGGCGAAATGACAGTTTGAAGAAATAAATTCGTGATATCGCACAAGAGATATTTTCTACGGAACCAAACTCTCTTGTAAAATACACATATGGCTGATAAAAATTACATGTGAATTTTTAAAAGTTTATGATAATCGCATTCTCCTAAAAAATTTCCCAAGTGACTGCGAAACGCGAAAAGCAAGCTCGTCATCAGAAAGGTCATCGCGACGAGAAAACCCATTTATACACGGTAGCCTCAAAGTGGATTGCACTTAGCTGCTGGCATTCAAAGTGCAAAACGGACCAACCCATAGACGAAAAGGGCGAGCAAATGGGAAGGATGAGTAAGAGTGATGCACAGTTTCGCTCGTGGCCGCGTACTTAAATAAACTGCTTTTGCTCCACTGTGAACCTCTAATAAAGGAATGCACTTAGGATCGTGTCTTTAAATGCATCAAACGAAGATTACCTCTCTATTCTGCGCAAAAGACTTTGGTAGATTTTGCGAGCTTTCACCTGTCGATGTTTTGAATAAAATAAACTTGAATGCCAGAATTTTCCAAGAATTCTTATAAACCGGCTCTTCCATCAACAACAAGCTGACTTAGAAAAAATTTAATAATCCTAATGGAGCTATCGTGTATGTATATATGTATAATATATGTATGTATACGCATACATGTATGTATGTATAATAGGAATCAAGAATTTCTTTTTACAGATTTCTGGAAAAGAAATTCTGTATATAAGTTAATAATTATAATACCTATTGTAAAGACAGAAATAGACCGAATCAGCTTCCGTATTGGAAATACATTTGTTTCCTCTTCGACCATACCATCTCTTCCTTCTCTCTCTGCTTCGTTCCTCTTCAATTCACCTCAACCAATATTTTCCTCAATTTATCGTCAAAACCGCAACCCGTAATATTCTTCGAGAACAATCGAGCCTTTCTCTTCTTTCTCAGAGCGAGCATCCTTAATTATCCTCAAAATTTTGCCAACGCGTCTTCAAAGAGCTGATAAAAATTATAATAATCTTCGGCAATCAATAAATGACGTGAAAAATCGAAATTTTTAATTTCGTTTTCTTCGAAAACAAATCCTAAAATGTTGCATCATTATTTCAATTTTTATCGTCAAAATGTTTTGCTTGAATCTTTTATATTATATAATTTTAACTCAGAATTTTTTTTTAAAAGACGAAGACTGATCTTACTATTTCAATTGTTTTCAGTAGTCTAAATGATTCTTATATATTACATTCAAATTTGTGTGTTGTTGTTGATTTTTTTTTTTTTTTTTTTTTTATTTTACTTTGTTATATTTTGTATAAATTTGTTAAATATATGGACACTTATTGCAAATTCAATTAAGTGAGAACCGATAACGGTATCGGCTGTGAAAACTTGCGGCCGACAAAAGTGCTTGGATGAATGCAACAGATTCACATCTCGCGCGTTTCTAATTTGCAGCAACGGCAGCAATTTTTTCCTGTGTTCGCGCTCGTGCAATCTCGCAATCAATTACGCATCGCGTTGCGAAACGGGATGCAATCGCGTTTTCTTCTTTTTTGTTCCTTTTTTGCACAGCTGCACATACACCCACACCCACACACACACCACACCACACCACACACACACACACACACACACACACACACACACACACACACACAGTGGCCGATACCATGTATCGAATGATAAAGGGACTCACGCGTTCGTATCGAACAATAGAAGTAGGTATGCACATTTCACGACGTCAATCCTTTTGTGCAAATGGAACGTAACAGAAATATCCAAATATTTTTCTCTTTCCAACTTTGAGCGACAATTTTGTGTTGAACAATAAGGCGATTATCCTGCGTTCGAATAATAAAAAGCTCGGAAAATGAATTCTATGTTGAAACGCGAACGTTGTCAAATGCGTTGCTTTGGGTCGAGATACGCAAATGGATTAATTTTCAACACGATTAGGATTGATAAAGAAAGCTTTTGTCTCGCGCGTATAAAGCTTTTCGAACATATTCCTCTCTTCTGTTCGGTTTGATTTATAACGTTGAAAAGATTGCCGAGAGATGAAAAAATAATAGAATTTACGCACTAATCTCTCAATAAAACAAATCCATAATTTTTTATCTCGGAGTGTAGATTATTTCAAAATCGATTACAATTGATAACAGAAGCTTTGCGTACGTATCTACCTAGGTTTTTTTTTGTTTTTTGTTTTGTTTGGTTTGCGTTCGTTAATTTGTTCGTAAATTTTGCAAAAAGGAAAACTTAGCTCAAGAAACAGTTAATATCAGTAGTTATCACGGTAACGGATTGCGAATATATTAAAATTGCACAAATACAAAAATTAATTTAATTTCTCTTCTCACACAAACTTCCTCTTTCAATCAATTTATATAAAACTGATTCCATATTCGAAACGCTGAAAAAAAAAGGTATGCGATCTTAATTAAAATATTATAATTTAAATATTATTTTTCACACTTAAAATTTCTTTCATCATTAATTCTCTCGGAACGAATATTAATTTAGCTTTTTATTGATTTTATCTTTGATTTATTTTTCTTTTTTCTTTTTTTTTAGGAGCACGGAAAGTACGGAAAGTAGTATGTCTTGCTCGAGAGCAAGCTTGTCGACACAGGAGGACTTTACGAGTCCTTGGAAGCACCGTAGAAGAGCATCGACTTACAACGAAGCGCACATGGAGAGGACAATTCAAATTCTGGACTCGCCGAAGACTCCTAGAAAGAGATCCTTCAGCTTCCACGAGCAATTTTGTCGCAAGAGCGAGGACGAATCAGTGACGTGCAGAAAATGTCACGAAAAAGGACCAGAAGAACCAACAACATCGCACAATCTATCCTGCACCTGTCGTTTTGGAGAGTCCGTGAAAAAACCGCCACCTTTAAACGAAATCGTTGTTGTCTCCGGCGATGTTGCGAAGCATATAAACAATAAGAATCTCGAAATAGCTTTTTCGAGCGAAACCACGAGATCAATCAACAACAGGAGTCTGGAAACGGGCCTATTACGTAGAAACAACAGTGTCAGGTCCGTCGAGAATGGTAAAGGCTACGAACAGCTGACTATCGCGAATTCGGTGGTTACGTGGCGAGGCGGAAGACGAGGCTCTAGTCTAGGTACGTGATAAAAACAAACTGCCAATAACGCAAACAGCAATGCGAACTTTTGATTAAACTTTTTGATCATTTCTGGGTAATTGCTATCATGTACTTTACCGGTAAAAATTGTGTAGCGTAAGAGAAAGAGAGAGAGAGAGAGAAAGAGAGAGTAGATAAGATCTTGAAAGAACGATTTGGTCGATTCTTTCAGAAGACAGGGAACGAAACTGATGTGCTTTCTCGTTTCGATCATCTTTTTGCTTGGTTTAGAAAAAATGAAAGATTTATTCGAGAAGACGTGATTCATTGTCATAAAAAAGGTTCCGATCGCCCTTCCGGTCATAGAAGATTTTCGCATGTAATTCGATCTTGGAAAATTAAATATCCCAAATCTTTTATGACAAAATCGGAACAAACTAAAAATTTTCAATAAAAGATTTAAAAGAAGTTCTTGAGATTACCAGTTCTCAAATTATTTAAACATTCTTTAGTTTCTATATCAAATATTTGAAAGTTTATTTTTCTCTCTCTCTCTCTTGTTTTCAACAGTTTTAAATTATTAAACTAACTTACATATTAAAAAGTACTAAGTTATTTACTTATTAAATAAAAGACATAATTGTCACATACAAGTTACTTATTAAAATTGTAGACTGATTTTTTACGTTAAACTCTAATTCTCAAATTGTGTCATCTAAAAAGATTTTAGTTTTTTGTCCATGTTTGTTCGTTCATTTTATTAAAATCAAATCTTTCGCATTTCCTTAGCGGGCACCAGGACTTTGCTGTCCGCGAGCGCAGCGAGATCGGCGCCATTACGACGCGCGGCAACGACACGAGCGCGAAACGGCACAGCGAGTGCAAATTTGATACTGAAGCAAAGCAATACATCGTCGCCAAATTTGCTCAAATACACGAGTGGTCAGGTGCGCAGTCATCACTCACGCAACAGTAGCGTCATTTCGCGCAACAGCTATCGACACGGCAGAATTATCCGGCTGGAACAGAAAGCGACGAAAGTGCTGGGCGTGGTGTTTTTTACTTTCGTGATCCTGTGGGCACCATTTTTCGTTCTTAATCTTGTGCCGGCCATATGTCCCGAGTGCGAGCGCAAGATCAATCGCAAAATCTTTGACCTAGTCACGTGGCTCGGCTACGCGAGCTCAATGGTCAATCCGATATTCTACACCATCTTTAACAAGGTTTTCCGTCAAACTTTTAAAAAAGTGCTGCTGTGTAGGTATCGCAATCAAGAATGGCGGCCGCCCAGATAAGTCTCGAACTTCAAAAACAGATCGAGAATCACATTGTATAAAATCAATATAGTTAGGACTACACAAAGAGACTACATACACTCAATATCACGAACGAAACTGAAATGAAAAATGGTGCTATTCTTATTCGCACGAAGTCTCGTTTTGAAACGCTTTATGACAGAAATCTGTATGGATCACGTATCGCAGCCCGAATGTCCGTTGTTGATTGTTGAAAACTTAGGAGTTCTCTATCGAATCTTCCTACTTTAGAGATTCCTCTTAATATATATACATACATGTGTGTGTGTGTATATATGTATATATATATATATATATATATATATATATATATATATATACATACATACATACATACACACACATATGTCTATAAATATTTCATATTCAATAATAATTTTAACAACGTAAAATAAATACGTTGAATTCTTTCTAGTGATTCGTGTTAACACATTTCATATCAATTACATCACATATCAATATTAAATATAATATATCTCTTTGTTTGAACTTTTATTAGAAGCGAATTTCTTCTCTTGTTACAAATGTACTATACTATTTTCCGAATGTATATATATATATATACGTATATATATATATATATATATATATTTTATGTGCATTTAAAGCGATCTTTCCAATAGCCTAATCGCATACGAGAACTCGAAACGCGAACGAACAATCCGACAGTAGTTTAATAAAAAAAAAAAAACTGTAACAATATATAGTATGTCTAAGCACACTTTGTGTAAAAAAAAAAAAAAAGAATATCGATAAACTATCGCAACTAATTAAATTCTCCGATTGAATGTCCTTAATTAAATCCCGCGCAAAATATATTGAGAGATGTAATATAAAAACGAAAACATACATATTTGTGAATAAGAACCATATTACACGTGTACATAAACTCATCGCGCGCGCGCGCGCGCGCATGTGTGTGTGTGTATGTGTGTGTGTGCGCGTGTGTGTGTAATTGCGCGAAAAATATAAATTGTTATCAATTAAATAACTTGTACAAAAATATGTCAAAAACTGGGGAAATATTTTTAACAAAATCAGCGGAAAAAAGAAGAAAGAGTTTACATTAAGCAGAACAAAGTAACGACTCGTTAATGATGTTATAACGTCACTGTATGCGAAAGAGAAAAATATCCTGAACAAACAAAGCCCTCAAATCCTTTTATTGTGTGCCAGGAACAATCTCCCAGCACACACATATAAACTTGCCGTTCAATAATTAAAAACAGCATAAGTAACTTTTCATTACCATATTATAATCTCCAAACTTTTTACAAGACCAGCTAGTTTATGCGCGCGTTTATGTGTGCGCACGTGTATATGCGCGATGTTTCTTCAATAAGAACTTTTTTATTTCATAAACTTGAAAATTGAAAAAAATAGAAAAAAAAAATTCGAGATTTTAATTATATCATTGTTGCAAATTGTTGACGCAATTGTAAGCATCTGTTTTTCAAGTTAAAAAAAAGTCGGATGTAATCGAATGTATACGATATGACGATGCGATCCCAAGCGACGCTTACATGATCGTAAAATAATATGAGAGAGAATCGACTTGTTATTCGCAAAAATAAAGACGTGATCGTCGAATTTGCGCAAGCGTGACGCGGTTTCACCACTACAGAGTGCCGTTGTATCGAACCGTTGCAGTGGAGAACCGGTAAGTACAGATAGATGAGACGGGGATATGTACACTAACACGCGGTGGTGGATCTTCTATCGATTCCTCTCGAGGCCGTCCAATCAGAAAATCAATTGTGTACGTCCCTGCCTACGTGTGTTAATCGCCCAATCGACTGACCAACTGTTTACAGGCGAGAATCGCTGCGCTAATTATTTAGTTTTCCGTCGTTGATTTCACGATTTCTCTCTCAGCATTGCTTTCAATCCGCAAAATTAATTTAAACGTATATCGACAGGAAGACCGTGTTTTATCGTCAATTTTTCCGGAAGAATCACATCTCTTTTCATACTTTCAACAATAGTAGATTGATAAAAAAATAAAAACTCTCTCTACATTTAATGTAAATTTTGTGATATAAAAGTCTATTCTCTCGTATATAAAGCTTTTAGAAAGTTTTCAGAATTCTAAATATATTTGTTTCTATAGAAATTAATACTTTCAAATGTTTAAATGTATCAACTTTTTTTTAGCAAAAAGCGCGTTATATTTTTCATAAGTGGAGATAAAATTTGAAATACAAATTTTCTTCTTAATCGTTAATTGAATTGTTGATATGACTTCGGTTATATTTTATAATGTTTGTGTTAAGATAACGCGTATGTTAATATCGTTATATCGTCTTTCTTCCCGAGTAAAGTCTCGTTAACATCGATTGAGATTAATTGACTTCGTGAAGTTGCATGCTGGATTCGTCCAAAGTTTACGCAAACTCGAAGAGTAACTGCTCCTATCTGATGCCAGAACTGGAAAAGCATTAATTATGCCCACTCATTAACACGCAGCGTAATTTCTGCGATAAGGCTTGTGATAGATCTTCAAGCTGAACATTTATACGCGTAAAATTCTTAGAAACTTAATTACCGAGATCGAAATAAATGATCAAAAAATCACAAGACAAAGTAATTACAAATTAATTACTAATTAACAAAGATACACGATACATAAAAAGTCACAAAATCAATTTTTAAAAATTGTATAATATGATACAAAACAAGAACTATAAATACGTATATGTTTTACTTTCGAATAAAGAATAAAATAAGAATAGAAATGTGTCTAAGCACCAAATTTGTTTTGTCTGAGTTATTCATCTGTTAGTTTGTGTTTTGTCGTTGTTATAAATTTCTCTGGTTCGAGCACTAAGTGGAAACAGTAAATGCAAGGTCTTCCGCGGAATTGACGTAATTGGTAATCTGCACAATTAGTCCGCGTTTCTCGTCGAAGACGAAGTCTAATCGTCGCAACTCCCCGTAGGCTGAGTTCCCCATTAATCCTTAAACGGCACTCAAAGTTTCTACTCTTGCTTCTGGTAAGAATCGATCACCAAGAAGCATCAACACCAAACCGACATTATATTAAATAATACATTGTTGTAATTATATTAACTCCGCAATATTTTAAATAAACACACAGCATAGACAAACAAATTATTAAAAAAAAAAAAAAAAAAAAAGAAAAAAAAAGTAATTACGCCATGCTCGTGTTTTTCTATTTCGAATGGCAGAAATGCGTCAAGTGTTTGGCAAACATCGGAAAAATAAATCGAACGCAAAGCGGTTACAAATGAAACACAAAGAAGATGAGCAGGCAAGTTCGAGTTGACGTTAATTAAGTTCTCTAAGAACTCTTACAAAAGTCAAGGCAATCTCTGGAAAGTATCCGGAAGGTGAGTGAAAGAGAAATAATCGATTTTTACAAAATTAAAATTTCGATAGAAAATATTTGGTTTAGAGAAAGACAAAGAGAGAGAAAGAGAGAGAGAGAGGGAGAGAGAGAGAGAGAGAGAGAGAGAGAGAAACGTGACGTTCTGCGTTTTGCGGTTACACGCATCTTGATACACTTGACTTGCGAAGTGTATTTTCAGGCAGTGATGCATCAAAGAGATACATATAGCACTTGTGTACAGAAAATATATAGTCCGCATGACAACAAAATAGACAATAATAGAAAAAAAAAGGTGTAGATCTCGATATACAAAACAATTTTCACAAACCTCATGGTATAGATTCAATTAATACATTTCTTTCTTTATAACCCTTGTACACTTAAAAAAAAAGAGAGATCTCGTCATCTAAAATTAAACCAATATATTTTCAATTTATTGATGCGTGAAGCCATTAAAGAATTTAAAGTTTAAAAGGAAAGAGTTTTTTGTTTAAGTCTAAAATTACATCTACTGTTGAATTAAATGTTAAAAGTTTTCAATTTGGAGAAATTCTTTTCTTGAAAAATCAGAAATCATGTAAATAACACAGAGCTGGAAATAGATGCACAAAAATACGAAAAGAAAGAATGGAAAACCGACAGCTGCAGTTGCACACGCGCAAGAAAGAACTGTAATAAATTCATTAGTCTAACATTGTGGACAGTAATATAATTTTCATTCAGACACGTTAATTTACTTCGGGAAAATAAAGTAATAAACTTGCAAAAAAATCGACAACACAAAGTAGCGAAAGAGACGAGCGTTTTTCCGACACACATTTGCGCAATAAACTTTTTTCAATTAACGAGTGTACTTGCAATAAAATACGACGTATTAAAGCGTATTATTTACGACAGACAAAATACTGCAACGTAGAAATAAATATTAACAACATTAGCTCGTAGTTCCGGGCGAAGTTTACTAAATTCTACTCTGCAGATTTCTCCTCAGACGTCAACGATCAAGTTCCCAACTTCGGTGAATACTAAGTCTTAACACGAGAACCCGTTTTTCATACAAACTAAATTTAAAAAAGTGAAAATTTTTTCTAAATAAAAACATCTCCTCAGCTCTCGCAAAATTATTAGTAAAATTTTAAAAACATTACTGACAAGACGTTAATGAGAAACATCACGCTCATCACTCTGATGCGCATCTTCTCGATAATCATATCTCAGTTTTCTCATTTGCTGGCCTGAGAAAAATGTTTTTTAATTATATAGAAAACATTTTATAAAAATATTTCCGCATAGGGAATCATTAATTTTTTTTTCCACGATATCGCGTAATTTCCTCACATACTTCTCACTTTTTATTCACCCAATCGAATTATTCAACTGAATTTAAATTAGCACGCACACACATATAGCAAATCATTTCTCGTCATGAGACGTTGACGACTTGTGGTTGGTGAATCTGCTCACGTTACTCCTACAAATCTCCTTCTTATCCTTCCAAGTTCTTCGTTTTCCCAAAATTAATTTACATACCAGTCATGATTAGAACATTGATTAAAATCAAGATTAATGGATCGCAAGTAGCACACGTTCGTTCAAGTTTATTGCTATTATTTATTATCTCAATTTCCGGCGGATCCTATCCATAAATTTAACACAAATTTTCATTCCTCATTATATGTATTATTTTAAAATGTATTATTTTAAAATGTAATCTCTCTGATAATTTTTTAATTAATTATTATCAATATTTTGACATATTCGATATATCTCATTTCTTTTAATTTGCTTTCTCATTACACACACACACACACACACACACACATCGATAAATATCTGTATGGTAAAACCTTTATACTAACGATGATATTTTATTGATTCTTGATGCAGGTGTTTGAACATTGGAATTTAATTGCTCGGTGAGTCTCGGAAAGTCGAAGAAAAATATTTTCTAAGATTCTCCGAACTTTATGAGATCGAGATATTCTTGTCAGCGTAAACTCAATGCAATTAATAATTTTGCAAAGTTCTAAAAAAAAAGAAAAATATTAATCGCTTCAAAATTAAATTTTTCCTCTTAAGATTTTCCGCCTCAGTTCAGTTTATTCGCTAAAAGGACCAAATTAAATTTATTTCTTTTCTTGTAAAGTAATTTGAAGTTTTTTTCTGCACCCAATTTTATTCCTATCGCTTTATAGTTTTCGACGCGCTTTATCCATTAAATTACATTTTCAAGTATATTACACATCCTGTGTGTACATACATTTTTAATATACAAATATTTATCTCTATTTAAATTATTTAACATTTTTTTCTATTGCAAACTCTGTCTCGTTACAATTTTATACAAAATAAACAATTCGACTTCCACACTAATTGCGTACTGTATGCAATTAACAGTATTTATCTGTTTTGTGACATTTTACATTTATGTTTTCGAGGACAAGCGCGACGTGATTTACGTAAAACGTAATGTAATAAATATATGCAAAAAATGGAAATTATTAAAATAAAGCCGGTAACGTTTGCTGGCCACAACAACTTGTTTCGCAATCAATAATGGTGTACGCATTCGTTCGAATGGATAAATAGCGATCAACTGCAGATATTAGCCATTGCCATAACCGCGTTGACGATTACATCGCAAATTCCAGACATCGCGCGTTCATTGAGCACATTCAATTACGCGCTTTGTCCAAAGCGTGTGCCTATCCACTCATCGAGAGATGCGCATCGTTTACTACACTGATTGCTACGCTCGTAAATAATGCACAAAATAAGTCACGCCAATAATTAATAATTATAATGCCAATATTGTTCGCTTAACAATGATAATTAATACTCCGATAACAAAACAGAGCTAAAGTAAATGCATAAAACATACATTTTAGTAAAAAGAATTTGTTTTCTTGCAATTAATAATTACAATATGTTAAAATTATCAATTCCAATCGCAATCATAAACTTAATAAAATATTAAAACATAATTGACGAAGATACTACGACGTGTTTTTACCAAAATTTCACTGTCCACATATATACTGGATATTTATTTATTAAAAAGAACGTTTAAAAAATTGATTAATTAAGAGTTTTTGATTAATTTTTTCAAAAAATTGTACTTATAACTTCAAACCTGCACATATAAATTATAAACAATGTCATCGATATATTTGAAGTCAAGTCCAAATTTGAAAACCACAAGAGAGAATCATGAGCACTCTAAGTTCATAAGACGTACAGTATCAGATTCAAGTTTGCATTCAGTTATAAGGATTCAATCTCTCTGAAATTGCACTTTGAATGCGGAGAAATGGGGCGTGGTGCAGTTTGCGGTGTATAACTTATTCAATAGGTCGGTCTATTCATTGCGAGCGACGAGAAAAGAGATCTCGGGAATAGAAGAAATGAAAACCGTAAAGAAAAAAGAACAAGTGAAAAAAGAAGCAAATTTTTCTCCTTTTTTTCGTATCGCATCATCCAAAATTAACAGAAGAGATGCATGCGAACAATAAGAGAGAAGCCCGAGTAAGCGCGACCCGTGTGGCACACGTGTCCCAGATTCCGCACACCAGATCCTTTTTTTTTCTCATTCGCTTTTATATCGACGAAAATATCCACTGTTTCGCGAAAATCTAATAAACCTCATATTCGCGAACAAACAATGAATCTTCGTTATTCCGTTTTTTTTTTACAAAGAAATTGTCTTTTGCACGCAATGTTATTTAATCTAGGTTCAAATTAATTAAAAGGCCGATATTTATTTATCTTCAAAGAAAATTTTCGTCTTTTTGTAACTCTTAGATATATCTATTGTTATTCAACAAGAAAACTTTGTATCGTATAAAAAGAAAGAGTATATAGAAGCGTTTGTAATGAAATTTGTTCCGACTCATTTCGAGTTTAAACAGATTGCGAGAGAAAAGCAAATTTACGCGCGCGCATTGTGATGTATGCGTATATTTTCGCGTTTGTTGTCTCCTGTTAACAATCGCAGCTGTCGACAACTGTTTAAATTGATTTGCTAATATTACTTTTTCTCATTACCACGTCGCGCATGTCCTTAGATTGTTCAAATGCAAATCGTTAAAACGCACTTAACAACTCTAATGCTCAAAAATGATATAAAAAAGAGATACCTGTCAGAATTAATCTACTGATAATTTTTGAAAGGCAGAGATAAATATTATTTTCAGTAAATTATTGTTGCATTTCAATTTGACTATTTTATAATCGGTTTACGACCGAAGATCAAATCGATAAAATATTTTATTATTTATATATTCAAACGTCACCGCGAAGACAAAATAATTATCAATTTTAAATTCTAATTTAAAATATACAAAATTAAATTGGTAAACCATTTTGAGAGACTTCCAGTTTTATAATACCATACAAAAAAAACGTGTTGATCGATACTTGTTCTACAAGTAATATGTAACTTGTTTTGACACCGATAAATTATTCTTCAACCAACCGATTCTTTTTCAAGAAAATCGATTAATGTCAAACATACTGGAAATGATATCGAGTTTTTTTCGTATTCAAGGTTCAACTTCGACATTATTTGAGAAACAAGCTGGTTTTTTGTCGACAAAATAAATAGTTTAAACCATATTGTTTTGTCAACAAATATTAGGTCACAAACACAGAAAAAGTAAACAGTCTTTAGAGTTTTGTAGCAACGCCGACATATATAGGAATTAGAAAACTTTAGAAAAGATTTTATACACACATACACACATATATATATATATACACATATGTACTCACCGGAATAACAGGAAACCCAAACCAGTAACTGCAGCTCGTCGAACATCATCATTAACATCAGAGACCTGATAGAACAGAGAAAAAATGCTGTTGTTAAAAAAATGTATTTCTTTGGAAAAAATCTTTTTTTGCAATTATTTGTCTTTCAGAGTGAACATAGTCGGTAAACAATTAAAAACCAAATCAAGCAGTTTATAAATAAATCTATGTATTTGCACAAAATGCAATCTATTCCAAAATAAGTTATTTTATTAAATTTTTGAAGTTAAGTTTAGAGAAAAATTGATAAAATAAATAAAATCAGCAATAAAAATATAATCTGTGCGAACTACTATGATAGTAGAGAAAACTAAAAAAAATATATATATGTATATACACATATAGATACGCACACGAGAAAGAGAGACCGAGCTATCAATATAAACTACCACTAAAATAAAATAAATGAGAGATAATAAAATACAAAATAGTAGAATAAAAATAAAACTAAACAAATACAACACAAAAACAATCTGCTACAATAGCAAAACAACTACGATATCTATTAGAGAGACCGAGCTATCAATATAAACTACCACTAAAATAAAATAAATGAGAGATAATAAAATACAAAATAGTAAAATAAAAATAAAACTAAACAAATACAACAAAAACAATCTGCTACAATAGCAAAACAAACTACGATATCTATTATACAGTAGTTTTGTGAATCGGTACTTACAGCAACGTGTAAAAGCTTTCGGATGGCTTGATTGTTTCCTGTGCCACAATAAGCCATCGCTAGAGTATACATGCCGCTCCTTCGTAGGATCGGATCTTTATCAGCGCATAGGGACGTCACCAAGGGATCGGCCTCCTCGAGACGGCCGTACATCGTAAAGGCGATACCGACCGCCAGACCACGCAGTATCTTTTCATGCTGCGTTTCTTGAGCGTACTGAAAAAGCGAAAAGCCTCATAAAACGCGACCGATAATTGAACCCATAAACGTTAAGCGGCGAAAAGAGAGTCTTTTTACGGCAAATGTCAATAATACTTTAGCAATAATATCTTACTTTTTTATAACAAAAATAAAATTTTTATAACGAAGAAGTTGTTTACGTATAAATTCGCAGATATTTTACGTAATGTATTTTATTTAACTACTAATAGACAAATGTAATAAAATTTTAAAAATGTTATTTTGTTTAAAAGTGATTCTATTCTATTCAGATTGAGAGATATTGTAATGTGTTATTCTGTAAAACAAAACCTTCCTCGCAATAACGCATTTGAGAAAATAATTTTTCAAGCACAAGTATTCTTTTCGTGTAATTAAACCTACTAATACTTTCTGCATTAATTGTTTGAGTACGTAAAACCTCATACTTTTATAAGATCGAATAATTTTCATTCATTTAGCGCAGATTCGCATTGGATGCGCACTGAAAGCTTTTTGCAAGATCGAGATATATCTATATATGTTACTTAAATCACAGCTGCTGAGATACATTATGGAAGCCGTAACAGATAATTTGATTAAGTCGGCCGACTAGTAACAAGTTATGATTCGTTTAGCATCGACCTTCTGTTGCTTGCAACCTTAGCTAGCAATTACAAAAGTCAGGTCTTTTGTTTTGGACCCGCATATGCAGGGCTGCTATTTTTGCCCGAGAAAAATTCAAATTAAACGCGCGTCAATGCTTCGCGAAAATTCGATTAAAAAAAGCGCTGGTTCAACGTGTGAATAGCGTGTAACGAAATTTTTGCAAAATCATCATATCTTTACTATCTGTACAAGCCGGCGCCGCGTATTATTGAACAACTGCTTGTCCCTAGAATTAAGTTACAACCCTGTCTTCTACTCAGTTAGCAGCAGTTGTTGTCGCCTTGAAGTCAAATGAAGAAGTTAGCAAAATAAAGCTATCTCTCGTACAAAGGTCGTTAAATTTACACAACGCCGAATCCCACTTCCTCACCTGTAAAATACGGAAATACGGCACTAAGGTCAAAACACTATCTTTGTTTTCTAACTAAAATTCTATAAAAATAAAAATTAAAAATAATTCAAAACACAAGTATTACAACTAAAACGCAAGTACTTATAAGATTGTTAACACAAGCGTAATCCATCTGATAAGCAAAAATATATCAATGTACGATTATGTGTGATCATAAAAAAAAACATATACTCTTCTCGATCGATTAATTGTTTCAAAGCGATTGACGCATAATTAATTAATGTTAGCTATAAATTCATAATTGTTTTCGATGAAGTTATAAAAAAGCCATTGACTTTCAGTGCAAAAAGTTAAAAAACAACGTTGTTCCTATATTCATCTTTCATAGAAATGACCTCGGCGCCGATAATCCGATCAAGTACGTGAAAGACAATTGCGTTCGAAAGTTGTTTTATATTTAAGAGAGAACTTATTTCTTGATTTTGCAGTTGCATTTTCGTGCTACGCAAGATTACTCTTAGACAAGGTTTTACCGCTCATTTTTGAAACAAAAACTATTCTTAGTTCTGTATTTAGATACGTATACGCGTTTTTCTGTGAAAAGAAAAGTGTCTTTAAACTTGCAAAATTGTGTATTAAAAAAAAATATTATCTCTATATATAGTGGCAAAAGTTAGTAAACGCTCGCTGTATAAGCGAGTTTATTCTCGTCATCACATTAAAAATATAGAATCCTATTTGACGATGTTGAGCAGCTGGAAACTTGTTTATTAAAAAAGAAATAAATTTAATATTCTCTCATAGGTCAAACAAGTATTTTCGAATCAGTGACCTACAAATGGCCAATACTGTTATTTATTTTTATCTCTTGAAGATTTTTGGATCAATGAGTGCTTTTTGTTGATAGTTTTTTATCATACTTTGTTGATATCTCTCGCCGCTTCTTCGACAAACTACACGATTCTCGCCGCTTCTTCGACAAACTACACAATTCTCGCCGATGACCATGGTTACACGTATATGGTCGAAATTGAAGAACCCACACTTACGCAGCAAGATATCGACGAGATTACCGAATCCGTTCTTAAAACCACTTTTCTTCTGTATACTCAGTATGTGTGGGGAATACGTATCAAAGTTATTGTATAAAAAAGAATCTATACCAAACATAATACATAATACTATTACTCTTCTTTTTTTTTAGAAATAATTCACAAGTTGGACAGCAAATATTTATCGATGATTTAGAAAGTATAAAGAATAGTTATTGGAATCCCGAACGTCCTACTCGTTTGGTCACTCATGGTTGGCGAGGAGATACAGATTCTGAATCTGCCATTCTAATTCGAGATGGTAAAGATTACTTAGGCGTATGCCTAAATTTCTTTGTTGATTTACATTAGTAATTTTAGCGTATTCAATATTCTTGTATTCTTTTTCAGATCGATACGGTACAATCTTTATTTTTCTTTCTACTTTTGTTTTACTTTCGTTATTTTTTAATTTAAATTTACTATTACATTCAAATTTATAATGTGAATTTTGTAAATCCCTAAATTTTATAAATTATCTTTATGCCTCTTATTCTGTTAGTTAATCTGTATTATTATTTTTTTTTTTTTCTATTGTGTTTTTTGTTTGATATTTTTCAGCTTATTTTAGCGTTGGCGATTACAACATCATTCTGATCGACTGGCGTGAAGTAGCTGGAAATTGGTGGTATTGGAAAGTCGCAAAAAGTATACCCATTGTGGCAAAACACGTGGCTCGTTTTTTAGATTTTCTGATACAAGACGCGGATTTGGATCCTGCCAAGACCAAAATGATAGGACATTCTCTGGGAGCACATCTTGTTGGTCTTGCTGCTCGTTTCGCAAACAAAGAAATTAGTGAATTGTTAGGTAAGTTCGATAATAAAATCGTTAAAGAAATAAAAATTCAATTTACTAAACCTAATAAATACTAGTAGTATATAATAAACAAATTTAGAAAAAAAATTTTTTAATTCGATTTTTTTCGTTACAATTTATTTAAAGATTATATAATTCCTTTGTTGTTGATTATTTCAAAGAGAAAAGATTGAACCAAAGTTCTAATCCGCAGCATTAGATCCTGCGAAATTCTCCTTTGATTCCAAAGGACCGGGAGAGAGAGTGGATAAATCGGATGCGGTTACAGTACACGTTATTCACACAAACACCGCTTTCCTAGGTATAGAAGAACCAATTGGCCGTGCCGACTTTTATCCGAACGGTGGCAAACAACAACCGGGATGCAGTGTTATAAGTAAATGAAATTTATAGACAATCATCTATCATATATCATATTTATCGACTTAATAATTAATAAGTTGATTGATTTGTAGAGATCAGTTGTTCTCATTCGAGGTCTTATAAATACTATGCCGAATCTATCAAAAATCCCACTGGTTTTCGCGCAGGAAATGTCTTCATGGGCGGACCGTCGCTTGATCGAAAGTAAAAACTGTTTCTTAACTCATATTAAAGCCAAATAACTTATATTTTTTATTGTTTATCAGGAGAGTTGCTTGTCTCGCGCGAAAAAATAATAATATTACTTTTTTAATCTTCTTTTTTTCAAGTTTTTTAAACAAAAATATAACTTGCTTCGTAATTGTGTGTACAAATATCAAATCTCTTCTACAAAGATTTTCTCCGATAAATTGACTGAAATGTTAAGTTACTTATTATTATTTTTGTGACTTTCAGTGCATACGGAACATATTATCTAGAAACTTCCAGCAAACCACCTTTCGCACTTGGATGCAGTAGCATAATATTTGGTATTATTATTATTATTATTATTTGTTTATTATTATATTGTTACACCACCGTTGCGATCTCGCGATTTTCGGAAATAAATAGTCACTCGGAATTACTTTAGTCTTGTTTTATTACAAACGACAAGAAACTCGGAATAAAATACAGTATCGGTAATACAATTTTATTCCGAGTTTCTTGTTGTTTGTAATAAAACGAGAGACTAAAGTTATTCTGAGTGACTATTTATTTCCGATAATCGCGAGATCGTGGCGGTGGTGTAATATTGCTATTTCTCTTCGGTTTTACTATTTATTCAGTTTTGTACGGAATATTGCAAATATATTATGTTATTGTATGGTGTTTTTATATTCATATCACTATTTCAACACTAACATTTGTCTAAGGCAATTAATGCTATCTCTTAAATAAAAAAATTATTTTATTTAAGCTTATATGTATTATAGAAACTATTAATCACATAAATCATGATGATATTATTAGAATATTAAAAGATTAGAAGACGGAAAGAGTTGCCAATTGCAATCGCGATCATTTTCTTCAATCTTTTTTTAAACTTAATTATACTAGATTATAGATCATACTAGAGACGCTCTTTTTAGAATTTTAAACTTACCGCAACCATATCTTCAATAGCTTGAGTGGATTTGGATCCTAGCATAACCATACCCATGGCGATTCCAGCTGCTTCGCCAGTCACAGCGTCGTCTTGATATAAATTGAATTTTAGTTGCTCATAAACATCTTGTCTATGAGAGCCCATTGCAGCCAGTCCAAGACCGAGACAGCCACCGTGACGAACCATCTGCAACAAGTTTATTGGATACTTTATACATATAACTAATTTATTTATAACTAATTTATATTATTTATTGGACTTTATATATAACTAATTTATAAAATGCGATAATGAATATAAAACATTTCTTAATGTTTTGATACGAGAAAAATAACAATAGAATTAATTGTTTAATTGCATTGTTTTGCATTAACGTGTTATTAATACATAATAAAATGTTTTATGGAAATATAACGTACTTCGTTTTGAGCATCTTTTAACTGGCCCAAAAGATAATCTGTAATGGCCGCTCCGTGATTAGCATGTATGAGCCCCAAAGCATACAAACCACCGCCTTCCGAGTATCCGGCACCAGCGGCGCCGGAATCTCTTGGCAAGTAAGATTGCATAAGAGCCAAAGCTTCTTGCTCATGTCCTCGATGAATTACTCCCAGAGAAGCTGTTGCGGTCAATTTTGCCCAATTAGTCGCTCTAGCCAACCACTCCAAGTTGTCTCTAAATTGTAAAATGTTTTCACAAACTTAAAAAAAAAATACTGCAAGATTAATGTAACTTATTGCGTATTTCGTTTTTTTTTTAACAAAAAGACTTCTAAACTGTATTAAGTAAAATTTACAAGAAAACTTACAAACTCAAAATAATTTCCAAATATTTTAAATATCAAACAATTTTCAAAATTATTTTGTATATAAAAATAAAGTATGAAAATACATATATGTTATACCTTAAGAATTGATCGCTTGTCGTCCCGGAATGCATGAAAGCGTTTGCGATTACGGTGGCAGTGTGACATATTGATACACGTATAGCGTCCTTAGTGTTCTTCAGAATCAGCATGTCTGTATGATTGCTGCGAATTAAGAACTGCAAATGCAGATCAATGGACACTTCGCCGCCCAGAATGCTGGATAAAGCGTCCACGCGTTCTTGCTGTTCTCTCTCCTCCGCGTTCTAGAAAATAAAAAAACATTTTTTAAGACGAAATCTATTATATTAATATTGACCATGTTAAAAAAATACTATTATATTCAATATAAATTTTTGTTAAAAATTTTTATGTGTCGAGTAACACGCACCAAACTTTCGACGCTGCGTTGAGTCTTTTCTTCTGTATCAGGAGTAGTAGTGGTAGTTGTTTCATCAGTCTCCGTGTTTGCTGCAGATTCCGTGCTGACTTCGGTAGCTTTGACCGTGATATCGGTAGCTGGCTTTATCACCGGTTTAACCATAAGCGCTCCCGGAATAGGCGCGGTGGCTCGTAGCGCCTGCATGACACGGCCGAGGAACTGTTGAGTCGCGGATTCGTACAAGTCAAAAGCAATCTGATAGGCCATTAACACGCAGTCATTCGAACCCTTGCTCAGTCGATCTAGGAGCTCTGCCACAGCTAATGGATCATCCAAGAAGATCAGACACTGACACATATTGACATAGTCAGGAGTATCAAGATTCCTATAAAGATTGACAAGGCAACGAAGCACTGTATTACGAAAACCGCGATTTTGGATGAGGCTCATTGCAACCTGGAAGGCATATGACAGCATTCCACTCACATCATCCTAGAAAGAAAAAGAACAAAATTTATAATTAAATTGGTACGTTAATCAGTATGTATAAAAGAGAATGCATATGTAGAATAATATATCCGAAAAATACAAAATAAACATATACAACATATACAAAATATTACATACAATATATATAAAACATATAAATCAGTAAAAAATTAATAAATTCTACTCACAGACTGCATAATAGCTGCCTCAAAAATATCCATTCTGCGTGTCTCCAAAGCAAGACCCAAGGCTTGACGATACTGATTGTCATCCAAGCAGCGTTGAAACATTCGATTCACTATTCCTTCTAACCTAGGATCAATGCTTTTACTACCCGGAGCAAGTTTTCCCTCTGCCTCCAACACACGTTGTTGAGTGTAATAATCAATACATTTAGCTGAAAATATAATTAAATACTTCAATAACTTAAGTCTCCAGAAACTAATTATTATTCCATATTCACAAAAATTACCAATAGTAGTATCAACATATTCATTTCTAGCATTGACATCAAACAATTCTCCTGCTCCAAGGGCATAAGTCAGAGAATCCTCAAAACTTCCCAAATGATAATATACTTTACTGGCAACCAGAGCAGCCAGTTCATGTTGTTGAAACCCTTTATCCTCATGCAAAATCTCACTGCAAGAGGTATAATAATATTAATAAAAACAAAAAAAAACAAAAAAACAGTAAAAAAATTAAACATAAAATAACTATTAAAAGTAAAATTGTTAATTTTATTGTATATACATACATTTTTTCTATTGCTTCAGAAATCTCAGGCCAGAACTCGTCAACTATCATGTTCAATTTTTTTAAAGCAAATACTTTTAATTCAGGCATTGGTTCTTCTAACAAAGAGATTATACCAGCTGCAAACATTGTAAAATTAAAGTTATTACTTCAGAGAACATAGTTATATGGTAAATATTGAATGCAAAGACACAATAAATAATAACATAATGAGAATAATGTATATCTTTTTTGCTGAATTTTTACAAAAAAAAATTGTTATTTTTTTCTTAGAAAAAGTGGCTTTTATGTTAGTAACATTCTTTTAGCTTCTTGTTCGGCTTTTTGGACACTTTCAGAAGTTGGTTTTCTCGTACAAAGTATTTCATAAGGTTAAGTCTCACATGATTTGCAAATCATCATTCAAAACTTAAAATATATATACGGTATATATACATTTTCACACCAATAACTTATATTTAAAAAAAAAACAGACAATTATTCGGTGACTTACCTGCTGAAGTGATATTCATTTTATTGAATTTTGTCAATTGACAGCACTTTTTCTGAGAAAAAAAACGATGCACAAAGACTCTGTGCTCCAAATTCTCAATCAGAGACAGTTATGATCATGGTGTACATCATGGAGTATGATATGCAAGATAGAACAACACGTCTCAAAAGAACACGATTCATTTTTGCATATACTGCTTTTAGCGTCCTCTCGTAGTTCTAATATCTAAACTTTTACTCTTCCGTTATGTGGTAACTGATAGTAAAGAAAACTGTTATAACAATCAATATTAAATTGAGGATCTCCTCAGGCTCATGAAGTTTATTAAACTTAATAAATGAATAAATAATTAGTCTTAAGGAGCCGTTCGCAGGATGTTGTGCGGAAAATATGTCTTATATGTGTGTACACATATATAAGTAAATTCACGTTTTTCACGTGTGTTTTTCGAATTGAAATTTCAATTCTTAAATTCATATAGGATGCTCGTTTTGCATCTCATATATGACAGACCCCGAATACCCCCCCTAATTTAAAATATTGCAAAAAAAACTCCTCAGCTAGGAGTCGAACCTGGAATCTCGGGCTTTCCGGGCCGTCGCCTTCCCTGTTAGGCCACCGAGGCACTTGGAGTTTGTCTCGCAATACTTCGTACAACTATTAAGATGTTTCTGATACTGTATTAACCGCTTATTACGACAGCGTGGATTTTAACAATCAATATTAAATTGAGGATCTTCTCAGACTCATGAAGTTTATTCAATTCGAAAAACACACGTGAAAAACGTGAATTTACTTATATATGTGTACACACATATAAGACATATTTTCCGCACAACATCCTGCGATCGGCTCCTTAAGACTAATTATTTATTCATTTTAGAAAACTGTTATATTTCCAATTAATTTGGTTCTGTTCCATGCTGTGTGCGCGTCAATATGCGAGTATCTTAAAAAAAAGTACGTATGTTTTTTATAATTATTATCATATAACAATATATATATATATATATATATATGTATATTATACTTTCTCTATATATTAATTATATACTATAATCAAGATTGGGTAAGTTAAATTTTTTTTTTATTTAAGTTAAGTTACAGTTAAAGGTCTTAAAAATTTTATTTAGTTAAGATATAAGTTAATCCATAATGAAATTAATTGATTAAAAGTTAAGTTAATAAAAAAAAAAATTAACAAGTTAAAAGTTACATTTTTTTTCATAATTTTAGTGTTTTAGTCTTACAAATAATTACAAACATTTACAGTGTTTTAATCTTACATATAATGGAAAAAATGCTATATTTCACGTCACGTGTACTATAGTTTTTAACCAAAGTAGGATTTTGGAACATACCCCTGCTGTTGTCAGCTGTTGTGCGCATCCCCTTTTTTGCTGCAGCATGCTATGAACATTCCGTTTTTTTGCATATGCGCACATGATCTATATACTACACGTAATGTTTACTATGGACAAATGCGCGTATATGAAACGGAACGCATCTTATAAACGTCTTACAATCGTAAACACTGACGATTACGTGAATTGCGTTGGATTTTACGACCAGCGTTTATTGGCTCAATTCTCAAACATGTACGAATTTATTTGCATACAGGGTGATTCAGAACAACCCGTTATCTTTGAAAATACATATTCTTGACTAAATTCTAAGGCAACTTTTTATTTGGCAAAATTTTGTCTGACGCTTACTTTTTGAGTTACTAATAAAAATAGTTGACGTACCATGAGTCGGATTTAAAAGGTAGGCAGGGGCGGCGCAACTCACCGTGATTGACAGTGATTTATGTGATGCACGGATTAAATAATACAAATTGCGAATGAGTAAATAAATAAGAGAAAAAAAGAGAGAGAGAGACAGAAAAAGATACAGAAACAATGCGTAGCGATCAGCTGATCGCGTCAGGCACCACACGTAATCGCCCGCGTCTCTGACGGTGAGTTGCGCCGTCCCTGCCTACCTCTTGCATCCGACTTGTGGTAAGTCAACTATTTTTATTAATAACTCGAAAAGTAAGCTTCAGACAAAATTTTGCCAAATAAAAAGTTGTCTTAGAATTTAGTCAAGAATATGTATTTTCAAGGATAACGGGTTGTTCTGAATCACCCTGTATAAAACGAATCATTCTGAGCTTTGTGATTGGTCGAATTTTTCGGCCTATAAACATGTAAAATTAATTATGATCATACGACAAAATATGTTCCGTTTTGTATGCAAACAAATAAAAAATCTTATGGCTATAGTAGATTCAAGAGAGTTGAAATAAAAAGTTACTAGTTACCGATAAAATATAACTAAATAAAGTTAAAAGATAAGAGTCTAAAAATATAACTAGATAAAGTTAAAATTATTTAACTTTTTAACTTTTTAACTTAACTTTTATCTTTTTAACTAGACACTACCCAACCTTGACTATAATTATAAAATATTATGAATTATATATTTCGTAATTATTATATTCTTATTTATTCTTTAATTATCTATAAATATATATATATATGTATGTATAATAAAAATGTAAGTGGGGAAACGTTAGAGATAGGAAATCACTGGCAAATAATACAGACATAATTATGTTTTCGATATATTGTCTGTTATTTTTGTTATATTTGTTTTACTATTTAAATCTTTTATAAATTTTCGTTGTGCTTATTTTATTCGACGTTTTTATAATCTTCTTAGTACATTCATTCCTAAATCTTATCATGTAATTACAACAATCAACGATACATTTTTTACTTGTCGTAATTTTGCAATATGTAATCAATATATATATATATATAATATACATATAATTAATATAATACTATTGTATATAAAAAGTTATTCTGTCACAGAATATTGCTTTTGTTGCTTACAGAGGTTGACAAGAAGAAAAATTATAAATTACAAGAAAGATAGACATTGGACAAAAAAATGAAAGAGAGAGAGAGAGAGAGAGAGAGAAAAGTGGAAAGATAGATTCCACGGTTTTTTGCTTAATTATTGAAAACATTGTGTAGTGTAATAAAATAATAAAATACAAGAAAAGAGTACCAATATATAATAGACCTTACAAATCAACATAAACAAAAAGAGCTACATAGTAGATAAATTTCGCAAATCGTTATCGCGGCAATAATATTAGCAGTACCGTATATTATAATATAAAGGTTTTACGTATCACATCAATATATATGTGTAGGTTTAATCCTTACAAGTTGCGAATGTTTACTGAGTTAAGTAAAAAGAAAAAAAAAGTCAGACAGCTAGAACGGCAAAAGAAAAATTGCAAGTTTCCGTGACTTCCTCATATTTTTAACTTTGTTATTTTCATAATTTTAAATGAGATCTCTCTATTCGTTTCTTATCAACTCGTAAAGATTAAAACTAAATTCATGTAAAATAAATATATATTAATGAAAAATCACGATTTATTTTCGTTTTGTGTTCTTGTTTTGGTCGAATATATAATGTTTTATATTTAATACACGTAGTACCACCAAAGAGCGACAACGTTCACGAGCATAATGATGCCATATTCGCGTCGCTTTCTTCCGTTTTGCTCGCGCGACTCGACGATGGCCATTCTTTCTCGAAAGAAGAGAAACTTGAGCTTTTGATCGCGTGAAATAAATAAAGAGATAAACGCGACATCAATGCGAGCCAAGCTTCGCAGATGTGGACTCGATCGACGTTAGTCGATCACATTTAGAAAGGACTCGCGCGATCGTTTTTATCGAGGTTCCTCGAGACAGGCGCGGATGTAACGTCTATTAAATATCCGCGACGACTACTTGAATATATTTTCTATGGTGGTCTGTGGTAGACACTTTTTTACAGCACCGTGATGAATTAATCATCGGTCATTAACTTTATCGTTATCGAGAGTTCGAGAAAGCTCGGTGAAAAATTGATCATCGAAGTCCGAATGGGAACAACGTGGGTACGTATGTGCCATCGTGCGTGCTTTAATTATTATCACACGTACGAGAAAAGTGTGCGTAAGAATGATGAGTGCATCTTACTTAACAAAACTTGGAAAAGTACAAAAATGATCTCGCTCTTAAAATACAACTATACGCGCAAATTGTTTGTTGAGCAACCGTCTCGCGTAAAGTCGGAGAATCTTCCTAAACGGTGCAAGTGTCCAAAGAACACAATAAAAATGTTTAAAGAAAACTTTCTGATTTTTTTTTATTTTTTTTTTTTTCACACTTTCTCCAGACATTTTCTAAACTGTGTCCTTTAGACACGCACGTCGCTCGGGCGTTTTCCGGTCGAATGGAACTGAACGATCTATCGTGAGAAAAAGAGAGCTTGCTTTGTTTTTTTGGAATCGTGGAATCTCAAACACACGGTATTCCAAAATACACATATTTTAAATTACGGATTAATTGCACTTGAAAAATTGAATTTTCTCGCGATCACTTCATCGAATTCTGATCGCAGTCAGATCAAATGCGTTCTTCCGTCGGATGAAACGCGATCACGGATCGATCTCTCGGCGAGTCTCTCTCGTATTTTGCGTCGAATGGTTTTGTGCGAGTCCTCGTCCTACTGAGGTGAACGAGACGATGAATTTTTGATGTAGATTTAGTGACGAACATGAGCGTGCTCGGAATATTTTCTGTTCTTCCGATAAGCCGTGATTCTTCAGTAGTTATACGGTCCGTACTGAGAGCCATGATAATAAGGTCCCGGATACGCGGCTGGTGCTGGATATCCGGCGTACGCGTACTGTTGCTTCTGCGGGTACACTGGAAAATCGACAAGAGAGATTAGGTCCGCTATCTAATTTTTCTTCCGATAAAAAAAAAAAAAAGTTAAATTTCAATGTAAAACTTTTTAAACTTAACAAACGCGGAACGAAAGAATTTTAAGAATATAAGTAAACAGAGTCGAAGACGGATATTAACGCGTAATTATTATTTCGGTGTAAAATTCAACATTGCGTGCCGATTTGACTCTTATAGTTTTATTTTCGTCAAGTAATGTTCTGACGAGTTGACGAAATTGTTCTCTTCTAGTTCTAGGAGTTATTCAAATTCCGATTGTTTGCAACAGAATTATGTGAAAGAATAATATGACCAAAAAATTATATATAAATTGTTTTTGTTTGATATTCGTTTTATATATTGCTCATTTTGATCGTTTTTTTTTTTTTTTTACCACACTTGGAGAACATTATAATTTTATCTAAAACCAAATTGTTTGTTGCAAATTTCTAGACACAAGGAAAAGGCTTTTTAGCTTTTGACCTTAAACGCACAAAGAGAGATTTTGTTCCATATCATGCGGAACACGTACGTTTGCTGTATTCAACCTCTGTGCGCAAATCGAATTCCGATATAGATTAACCAGCGGGGACAGAATGTGCAAACACGGAAATTCTTTTGTGGCAAAAAGTCGACGGAAAATTAGGCAAGTGTGTCGCTTTCAAACGGCTACTTCGACTGATAGTTTCCCATTCTTTTTCTCAAAAAAAGAGAACAATTATCGCGATTTATTTTGGATTTTTATTTTCTACAACTCCAAGAGAATCCCTTAGAATAGCTGATAAACGAAATTGAAACAAACTGATCAACAAAAATAAAAACGTACTAATTTCTTTTTATAATATCTTTAGATTGATTATTACGCGCAATTTGTGTAGCGAGAGGGAAAGTATATTGACGCAAATGCAAATCGCATATCTCTCGATGTAGTACACACAATCTCGTTTCCTGAACTTTCGAAATATAAATTTTCCAAAACAATACATACTCGCGTTGACACTGATTTTTGCAACTAACGTAATTTTTACGTTAGTAATTTTTAGACGTAAATTTTTGCAACTCGATCGATTATCCGAAAGGGTAACTAGAAAGTTTCCTTCAGGATTAGAGCGTGACAAAAGTATCCGTGGCGGAAACAGAGCGTGAGATAAACAAGTAAAAGTTTTGCAAGAACGAACATTAGCCGTTACCTTCTATACGACGTAATTATGATGATTATTAACATGATTCGGTAATCGATTTATTTACCGATTAAGATTTTTTATTGTTTTGTCGCATTAATTTTCAATTATTTTTAATCAATATGTATTCTCTTAAAAAACAACAGTGAAGAATGGGTTGAGTTTAAATTAATAATATGTTGCGCGTTTTATTATTTCATTTTTTCACTTTTATTTATGTTAATGAATTGTATATTTAGTTTGCAAATTTATCTTTTGTCTGCAATTTATTTTATTTGCAATACAATTTTATTTCGATAAAAATGTGGCCTTGCATTGTAAAATAAATATGATCGAGAGCGTAAAAAAAACTAATTTAAACACTCGGCCGACCAACAATTTTCCGCGTGGATTCACTCTTTCAATCAGTTTAGGAAATTGCGCAAAGATGAAATCTGATAACCGGATATGCAATTCGTTGTAATTTCAGGTTAATATTCATTGAACTAGTTTTGCGCGCGGTCCCGTTTTTCTCATTCGAAAATTTAGGGTTTCAAAACAATTATCAAACTTTTTTTCATTGGTTAATTAAATTATTTCAACAATATACAGAGGGGTTGATTTTGTTTATATATATATATATACAATGTTATTAGGAATTAAATCTTCTGGTTTTTGAACAAAGTAAAGTGTTAAACATGCGATTGAACTATGTGTGTTGCATATTCTCTTCCAAATCTCTTGATTTTATACTACAACCGTTTCTCTGATTATTCAATAATTAAAGTTGCAATTCTTAATCAAATAAATTATAATTATTGTATTTCTAAAAATATATCCATAACTGACTGAATGCATACATCGTGCTAACAATAATTTCTATATACGTTAATACGGAAACGCTTATGAAGTATAAACTATATAATAAACTATATAATAAACGCGCGCGCGCGCGTAATATATAATGTGTGTTATTAAATATTTACAAACATATCCGCAGCAAAATGTCTCGACAATCTGATATACGTTATCGCTTCCGTATTGACGCTCCTTCGATTGAAATCCAGTTAGTATAATGACGAGATGATCGTTATATATTTTTTTGTATCAAGGAACATGTTCCTTGCGATCAAGCCCGATGATTTATAAACTAAAAAGTTAGTGCAATATGTTCTCGGTGCACGCGGACTTTGATATTTCAGTAATTTTTATTTTAAATAAGAATTAATTTTACTTAAAAAAAAAAAGTTAGTTTTACATAAATTAAATTTACAATCGCAAAATTCTTTGAAAAAAACCTTCTTAAACTTATAAATAATGAACACTTTTTTGCAAGTAATAACAAGCTAATAACGTCGATCGGAACGATATATCGATGTATTTAAATAAACACTTGAGATAGGATCGGTATTTTGTTTGTTTAAAAAGTATTTGTCGATAAAAGATTTTGTCGCATTACTCGGAGAACAATTGTATAAAAATTACAGATCAACAAACAAAGAGTTTCGATCGAGTTCCACGTGCACGTAGTGAGCAAAAGCAATAAGGTGTTAATAAATATGTACCAGGCATGAGGTACTGCATGTTCATCGCCTCTTCGCGCATTCTCTCGCCCCTCAAGCAAATCGCCGCGGCGCTAAACAAGATCGCGCTGACCAACGACCAACCGACGCCGACCCAAGCGACCACGTACGACCAGTCGTACGAGATTAGTGAGTTGTCCTTCAGGACCTAGACGCAGTTTCCCCCGCCGTGCCGGGCGCATACAACAAACAAAAAAAAGAGATACGGGGCGAGTTAGTCCGGTCGTTTCATGGATATCGTGTCACCTGGCATGATGTACTGAACGTTCTGGGCCTGCTCGCGGGCACGCTCCCGTCTCAGGCAGGATGCCGCGATCAGGAATAGCGTCATCGTGCCCAGACATGTGGCCACCCCCAACCAGGCCAGGTAAAACGACCAGTCGTACCACTGCGCCGCGTTGTCCCTTAAAACCTGCAGGCAAAATTATCTATAAACGCTGCGTATGCAGCGGCTGCCGCTGCGACTCCTCTGCTTTGTGGAAACAAGCCTTGCGCGCGACAGATCCTTCGCCTAAAAACATCTCTTTCTCAAGCAGGATGAGCAAAAGTTTGCTTTACTAGTTGCAAATTGTTTATATATATATATATCTTTGTACTTCTTTCGCTTATCTTATTTGGCAACAATAACGTGTACATTGAAACGTTGTTCATCTGCAGTCAACTTTTAAACAATCATATACCAAATTGTTTGAATTTAATTTCATAGAGTGATTATTTTTTTGTTTTATAAATTAACATAAAATATAGAACATTTCAATGCGACATCAGTGTTTAGAGCAAAAGTTTGCTTTACTAGTTGCAAATTGTTTATATATATATATATCTTTGTACTTCTTTCGCTTATCTTATTTGGCAACAATAACGTGTACATTGAAACGTTGTTCATCTGCAGTCAACTTTTAAACAATCATATACCAAATCGTTTGAATTTAATTTCATAGAGTGATTATTTTTTTGTTTTATAAATTAACATAAAATATAGAACATTTCAATGCGACATCAGTGTTTAGAGTTACAAAAGAAAAGTAAAAAAATTAAAAACGTTGTACTTACATTACTCCATTGCTGGTAATATTCTTCCCCGACGATTTTCTCTTTCTCGTAGTACTCGACACCGTGCCACAGGCCCATAGCGCCAGCACTTAGCAAACCTATAAACAATTTAAAAATAATATTTCACTTATATGTGATGTAAAAAATAATAATTGCGAAATCTGTATCATTTTGCGAAAAATATTTGAAAAATGATTTCTTGAAAAAAAAATATTTTGCAGAATATATGTATATACTAACAGGCAAACAGCATCAAAATTGCCGTAGCAGTGATATTTCCTGGCGATCTTCTCCAGCAGCCTACCACTCCTGTCCAGAACGCCGAAAATATCGCAAGAAAACCGACCATGAATAGAGCTATCACGGATCTTCCCATGTCTGCAATAATGATAATACATTAGAACGCGTTATGAACTACATTTACATTTTTATGAATTAAAAATAATCTTGTTCTGAAAATTGATACAAATAAGTCAGAAATAAACGGCAGAAGAGATCTTATTGGATTTAAATTTATTTTATAAATATAAAATCAATTTGAACAATTAATGAAGAGTTTTCAGAGGCTCTAGAAGTTTAAAACTAACAATAATTTGACTGAGAGCCTTACGCTAGATCTTTTGTTGTAAAATAAATAAATATATATATATATATATATATATATATATTTATATTCCTTTATGTAAATATTATACACGTAAATTTTGAAGTAAAATTTCACTTCATAGCTACATGCTATATTGCATCTTATATATGATAAACACCTCCCTATCTAATTTTAAAATATTGCGAAAAAACACCTCAGCCAGGAGTCAAATCCGAAATCTCTCGCTTTTCGTGCGATGTTAATTTTTGATTTTTTTTTTTTTTTTTAATTAATTTGACTCTAATGTTTCAGAAGAAAGCTATATTCTGAGCAAGATTTTTTTTGCTGTTATATACGCGTTTAATGACACGTTAATCACCAGCGATCGAACTTTCTATTCGCGCCACATCGGCCACCAGATAGCAACGTGACCGAATTCTAAAGCACTTACAATTATTCATAATATTATAAGATTTACTCTTATACTTATTTAATATAACAGTTATAGCACAGTAAAAATGTATATTCATATTTTTATTGAGGTTTATCAAAAATCTTATTCTAATTTAATTTTTAAATTTTTAATATATATAAATTAATATATAAATTTAATATATAAATTTATTTTTAATATATAAATAATAATTATAGTGTAATTATTAGTTAAATGATTTTCAAAACTTTTCCATATAAATAAACTTCCATATATATAATAACATATGTATAAACTTACGTAGTCGTGCCATCGCGTCGTCAGAAAAGCTTCTTGTTTCGTTTTCTTCATCAGGAATGAAATAATCGATGTTCATACAGTGTGTTTCTACAGGACTTAAGTAAGTTTCGACTGCAACAATAAAATATATAATGTAAAATTTCACGCGAGAGATATGTGAGCATAAACACACAACATAGTTTGCGTCAGAATTAAATGATATATATATATTTAACAGTGTAAATATTTTTATTACAAGTTTCTTCCGAAATTGCTCGTTCTAAACACACCTTCGAAGAATACATGTACATTTCTAATGTATCACATGTTTTTCTTTAATTAGACACTAAAAAAAAAATAAAAAATAAAAAATAGCGCTGAAATTATTTTATATAATAGCATTTCTTTTTCTTTACAAATCCTGCATCGCCAATCTACGATAATTATCCATTTTTATTCGTGATCACGAGTAACAAGAAGAATTTTACGAAGAGACTCAGAGTTTCGGCGTCTAATTGGCTAATCAACATAACGCTCTCATTTCACCGACCGTAAGATACGCGAGTTAATTTTCATCTACAACCGATTACGACACTCACACGGAATTGCACCGTTCTCCACAGACGCGAGATAAATGCGGAATCTCGCGCAAAATAACATATTACACTTTTGAGAAGACGATGATGATGATATAATCTTTATAAGATAATACAATCTTTATAACGCAAAGAGAAACTCATATTATATAAATTTAAAGATCTGGCTCACAGTTCGGATCAGAATAAATTTGTGTTACCATACTATCCAAAGAGCAAGTAAGATAAATATAATTAAGAAATAAAAAAAAATTAGACGCGCGTAGAGAGAAATTGTGCGTAAAACTTTCACCGTTCTGCGTACGTGTTTTGTACACGCACTTGAGAAAGATTTAGGAAAACGTTTCTTCTTGTTTTTTGTCCTAACGGGTCTTGTTCGTGTCTTCGAAGAAACGAAGATAGACTTGGCGTCGCATTTCGCGTAGGTGTGTATGTAAAGAAAATCTCACTAGTGAGATTTATCGCGGTACTCTCATGTGATTCCATTGCGTCGCGACATCAAATGTTCGACTCTTCGAAAAGCGCGCGACCCAGAATGCAACGAGCGCTATCACCGTTGCGCGAAATGTAAGTATACGCTTTTACCTTGCGTATCCGCAAGAGAAAGAGGGGAAGGAGCTCGCACATGCCGGCGCGCGCTCAATCTTTCGTCTCGGATTCAACGGTACTCTTTCAGCGAATCCTAATCTAACAAAATGCCACTTTCGCGAGAGTCATGTGTATAACATGCATGTAAAAAAGGGTCTTGTAAAAATTAAGTGTCGCGTCATGTCATTTCTTGCGAATGCGAGAATACACGTTCGACTGACGCGAGAGAACAAGCATCCGTCCGTCGCCTCGGAAAAGTCTAATCAACGTCCAAAGCAAACGTTTAATCGGAGTTTAATCAGAAAAGAGATCATTAACGAGACTCGAGAGTGGTGGCGTCAAACAGCGTAAAAAAAAACACATCGTTTGAAATATTTCGAGAATCACAGTTCGACGCAAACGCGACGAACGGTTGTGTTCTTTCCTCAACCCTTTTTGAATTTAGTTTTGTTATAAAGGAAGCGCCGTGTGTCAAGATCGTTGACTCGCGCGTCTAACTGTACACGCGCGTTATACACTCCGCGCTATTCTATTCCGAAAGAGGAATACAAGCCGTTGGGCGGCGAAGGAAACCCTCCTTGTATATAAATATTCTCGTACATATATTTTTCATCGCGCGCGTTTATTGCGCTAGGCCGCGCGATGCGAGACATCATCAGCCGAAAAGCCGATAAAAGCCATCGGACCGGTACACGTTGACTGGTTTCTTTTAATTTTTCACGTGTCGTCTGTGACCTCGATTTTCGGCGTTGTCCGAGCGCGCACATCGGTGCATAAAAGTGCGATAAAATATCATTCATAAAATTTACATTATATATTTTTTTTCGATCTTTTTTAGTTAAAAAATTCATTCATTCACGTCGTGTGTGTCAATTTAATTAGATCTTTCCTCCGTCGCGAAGATGAAGGTCAGGCTCGATCACGCGCACCTAATAAATCGATGCCACCGGAAGCGGGTCGCCGGAAGAAAACGGCAGACTGAAACCGATAAGGCCGTCCTCGTCGATCGGTCGGTGAACGGTACCGATACGAGCGATGCATCATCGATCGCATTTCGAATTGTTTTTTCCGGCGAGAACACACGTGGAAGCGCTTTTTTTTTTTTTTTTTTTTTTGTTACACGAACTCTCTAGATCCGACAATTTCTTCGTTTCGGTATCGCGCACAAATCCGATAGGAATCGATTCTCACCGATTCGGCCTCGATACACGCTTTGCCTTTCTTTGCCATTTCTTCTCGTCCCACGATCCCATCAGGCACAATGTACCCGAGAGACAAGTAACAATGTATATGTACCGCGCGGCATCCGCGTGTTTTCGTTTACGATCGTTTACGGTGTGAGAAAGCATTGTCTTCAGCGTACTTTCAGCGTTCGCCGTGTATCGAATCGTTCACGTTAACTATGAATGGGATCTGCTATTTTTTCGATCGTTTATTTTGTCACCCATTGTGACTTATAATTTGAGATATTTTTTTATAATAATTGGTCGAGACTCACTCAGAAAAGTGAACTATAAGAAAGCAACTGATTGGTCGACGTGAGATTTTATCGTCGGGAGATTTTTTGACGATGACTTTATATCTATCACATCTGCAAATGAATGATTTACATTTTTCAATTTTATCTTGTAAAACGAATTATTTTTTTTCTCACATATTGTTATACCGCGCGACAATATATCTACTTTTATCTCCAAATTTTACAAACGTTACGTTTGATTTTTTTTTTTTTCTTACAACTACCGCACACCTATTGTGAAGACAACAATGAATTTTGCATGAGCTTCCTAATGTGCGCACACACGGCCCGCATTCGCTATATAGTATCGGTATAAGTTTTTGCGCTACAGGCACGTTTCACTTCGTAGCGCGTGTGTTGCGTTTTCCCTTCTCGATTTAAGATCCAACCTGCGTGATCTGAAACTTCCGGGAGAACTAGATTCACCTGTTGTATTTTTTTTTTTTTTTTTTTTTTTTGTCTTACAACGCGCAGCGGATTTTACATGAAAACTATTCGCTTGTATATATTTTTTTTCACCCTTTAATTGCTATTGCGCAAATCAAACAATTAACTCGGTCTGCCAAGTCCTTTTTAAAGGATATACATTCTAAAATCAAAACGATAAGAGTTTAATCTTTATTTCATAGTTTATTTAATTTAATTTGTATCAAAAATAGATAATTAATAATTAATATAGGTAATTAATATAGATATCAGATACGCTGTATCTATATAGCTGTAAATTGTTTATTAGTCTTATCTAGATTTCCTGCGCATTTCGCATATCGCACACGTACACGCAAATGCAAGATTACATTTATGACATATTTTGTCAAATCGATCTGTTGCTTATACAACTTCGATTGTACGCAACGCACGTCTTCGTAACGCTGACGATCGCATAGCAATCTCCAATTATTGTGTGTCGCATGAAAACATTGCGCAATCATCGAGCGACACGCAAAATCGTCGATGTTGCGATTTATGTGACGTAAAAAGTAATATACATCGCGCGTGTCGTCATCTTCGATTCAAATTTACGTCTTTGATCGCAACGACCGCGATCGCAACGGTCCACTTACGAGATGCATTCGCAAAAAAAAAAAAAAATTATCCAGCAATCCTCAGAGAGTCTTGTCGTCCATTAAGTAATTTAAAACGAAGATTCTCGCGGTCGTCGATGTAAAAAGGTGCGCGCGTAAATCGGTTTTGCTCGAAGACAACCTTCCATATTCCTATCGTTTCTCAGACGTTTCAAAATGTTGCTCGGAAAACCGCGCGGTCGTTCACACGACAATTTTTTTTTTTTTGTAAGAAGTTAGCGGATGCGTTCTATATAACTAGATGACGATTTCGTATAAATTTCCTCAATAATTTTTTACTCGATTAGCCAAGCTGTTGGAATTGATAGTTTTCAATGTACAAGTTTAATTTGATCAAAGTCAGTGTGTCCGCGTTTATGTAGGTCTCTAAAGTTTCTACATTATGTATATATTTTTTTAAAGAAGTACTCATTTCCCGATAAACACAAGTATTTAGTATGTTTTTTTTTTTTTTTTTTTTTTATTACAAAAACACATTATAAATATTTGTGTCAATAGAGGTTTCAAGCGATGTGTGTGTAATGCTGAACATATAGTCGATGAGAAAGCGCCGGCGATGCACTTGTGAGCGCAAGCTATATATCGGGTGAAAATACACCTTTCTCCAAAGATTGTACACGGCTGTGCGGTCGATTATAAACTGTTAACCTATTACGTAGGGATCGGATAACCTACGACATTACGAGATCGTAATGTAGAAAGTTTCCTAAAGGCCGCGTGCGAAGTGTCGCGAAAGCAACCGGCAAAAGATTTGCCGGTTCTGATTCTGACGGGAGAGATACAGTCGAGAATGTCGATTGAAGATCGATAACGATATGTCCGATTTGTGCGGATACCTTTGGCATACGGTGTTTATTGTTCAACGCGCACATAAAACGCTATATAAATCTTCTGATCTGAGCGTTTCAAAAACTGTTTCGTAAAAAAAAACTTACCGATTAATAAAACAAACACACGTTTTAATTTTCGAAACATGTTGATTGTTTTTCACAAATTGTATTAAAATTGTTCATTTCTATAAGTCGTTGCAACCACGTTGAAATTTTTTTTTTTTTTGTGTGTGACATTTTTTTCCATTACTAAACGTTAAACAATATCTTGGAAATCTTATCTCTATCTTACCTGTCGGTGGTCTCTCTTTGGGATAACATATCCTGAACAGACCCTGAGTTCTTGTGTAGTAATAATATTTCGTGTTCATCTGCTCCACCAAATGGATCTGCTCGGTATGCTTGCTCGCATATTGCTGCAACACACGTACAGAAAAAAAAAAAAATCCTTTTAATAAATGTCCGATTATACTCGAGCGCTGATGAATTATTTGACGAAAGTTGTAACAACACCGCCGTGTTGCGAGCAATAATAAAGTGAAAGGATAAAGAGAACAAAGTCGCACGGCGAATAATTCACCATGGAGAGAGTTACTGTGAATATATGTGTGTTTTCGAGAATGCAGATGAAGTGCGCGCGCGCTCTTCCTTTCGCGAAAATTTCGCTATTATCATTAGAAAGTAAGAATAAGCTGTGCGTTTTTGTTAGAGAACATCTGTTCGGAATCTCTCTCGCATTTTCATTCAAAGAAACGCTTGCCACGCTTTATTTACGATCGTTCAGCTCTTTGCTTGTTTTTTAATTTATTACGCGCATATTACAAGTTATTCTCAGAGCCGCTCTCGTTCATCTTGATACACACAAAATTTCACTTCGATTCTCACTTGTAATAATCGTTGATTCGACAACGAACGGCGGTGTATCTGCAAGTTTTTTTTTTTTTTGTCGATCGACAACCGATCTCGTCTCTTGTTAAAAATCTATACAGCATTGTACGCGTATCGCGTGAAATTTATATATAGTCGCTTTGAAGGAACATCGAATGGATGAAATTACGAGTAGAGAAAACACTATCGCTATCCCCGGCTTTATTTCACATTCCCGAAGCATCGATATTCCGCAAAGAAGGCCGCCGCCCGCCCATGAAACCCGTAAGAACTCTATAGAGAGCGTTTACTCATGCGTATCGGTTGCAAGTTCCGTATACTTTCTTTTGTGTGCGCGAGGATGTGCCTCGCGTACCGCCCTCGAAATTTAATGCAATTTCAGAACGTGCACACAAGACATGTTTATCAATCTCTTCTCTCTTCTGTGTTCGTTCGTCCTACCGCGCGTGTTGCTACAATCTCTCGCCTTCGTTCCTCGATCGATTCCTCGTTCAAGAATTGGCGCGCTGCTTGATTGTTACGATATCCATTTTCTAGAAAGTACGCGTCTTTGATTTCCCGATTCAGCTTCTGGTAGAAAGTGTAATAATACACTCTGCCTCACGCGGGAAATCCTTAACGCATGAATCGCGTCGACGGGAAGGCAACGTTTCCGCACGTCGTCGTCGTCGTCGTCGTCGTCGTCGTCGTTCGCGAAAAACATCACTCGTGCTCGTTTCCTTTTTTGCGTACATACATACTTTACGTCGACACTTCTCACGAAACGTTTCTCGATTCATCGTCGCTGATAAATTGCACGTTCGTTTCGAGACTTTTTTTTTTCTCTCTCTCTATTCCGTTCACACTCGCGAACAATAGCGCGCCGAAACACATCTTCTCAGTTTTCTTATCGCGCGATTTATATTTTTCGATGTATAATTTGCATTCCGAATAAAAACGAGCTTCACGCGAGAAAGGGCAAAAAAAAAAAACGCGTGTCAACAACACACGGCAGTGGCAATCGGTGTGGATGTTTGAGAAATTCCGCGGCCTACGTTCTTTCTCGATTACCGACTAATAATCGTACGAGCATGACGCACCGTCGTTGATGCAAGCTTTGATTAACCTTGGCGAATACACCCATGCGTTCCTCGCGAGCGATTCTTTTGTAAGAATGCGCAAGGTGAATTATACGTATAAATATTTATTTTGCAAAAAATACTTTCACTCGCTGAACAGGAATCGAACAAGTTAATGTCCTGATGTTGAAATGAAATATAAAACATCGATTTATTGCCATTTCGATTGAAGCAAGTTTAGAGAGATAGATAAGCAGAGATCTGTCTACAAAAAAAAAAAAAAAAAAACGCAAAGTGTTTCTCGCGAAAATGGATGTGCCGCTTCTCTCGCGCGAAAGTTTCCGTAAGCAACAGGTGCGATCTGAAAATGTTCACGCTGTATATGTTTCAACGCAACATGTGTGTTTGTAATTCTCTCGAGATCATCGCTGCGCGAACTTATTAATTTTTTAGTTATTTTTCGTTCGCGAGAAAAGAAGAAAAAAAAATAGGACTCTCTGCAGCATAGAACTCTAGTCTTGTGTCTAGGCCACGCCACTCTGCTTTCACATTGTTATTTCGCCACTGCTCGCCTCAAGCGCGGGAACATCGTCGAGCCTGGCTGATTTCTTTGACATAGAAAGGAAAACCTGCCGTGAAGCTCATTGAAAATAATTAGATTATCAATGACAAAAAAAAAAAAAAAGAAACATCAGTTCATCTCTTTTGTCTTACGGTCAGAAATTTATTTCATCCGTGCACACGTTTTCTATTTCGCCCGCGCAAATCAGTACGTGAACACGCAATTCATTCATGTAAGTAAACAATTTTCAAAGTTGACACGTACTTTATATTTAAATAATAAAAAAAAATAAGATATATAAACACACGTCTAATGCGAATATTAATGCGCAATATTTTGTTTCTGCGTATAAATTTACAAAAATCTAAAAATTGAATCAATCAAGAAATTATTTTTTAGATGCTAGTTGGCCAAAAAAAAGATTGAATTACGAACGCAGGTTCTCGTTTTGTAAAGAATTAATTTAACTGTAATTTAAAAGAACAATTGCAAAAACTCTATTACTTTGAACTCAAACGAATCGAAGTATATGTAATATTCTATATTTATGTCTTTGAGTTTTACAACTCCAATCGCTTTACGAAGTGATAATGTTACGACTACTAGACGAGTGTAAAATAACAAACGTTCACGGAAATAGACAGAAAATATTAGCTTTCACCAATCTTGTCTTGAGGTACGTTTCTCAGTAACCAAGTAACTGCAAAAATGGTTAATATCACTATTTTATCGATCGTACCAATTTGTCAGCTCTCAGGTTCGATTACGAATTTGAGTTAAAGAAAACCCCTTCACCTCGTTAGTGAGCGACGAGGCTTTTAGGTAACGAGTCTCGTGTTGCGTACGGCAACTTTCATTTGAATTTTTCATCGCTCTCAGCTAATCTCATTGGTCGACTAACAGTGATCGTTTTTCCGACTATGTGCGCAATGTTGCACAACTTCCTAACTGAATAATCTATCATCGCGCATTGATTATTTCGAGAGACAGATAATGCGAATTTTTGTCTACGATTATTTGATTTGAACTCAATCTCTCGTGTCAAGACGATAAAAAATTGGAATCATTTTTTACCGGCAAATGTTAACGCGATAAAAATTTATTACAGTTTGCTCGTCAACAAAATTTATTCATTATCTTTGTGACGATCAATGTGTGTATTGATTGCAGAACAGGAAGAATATACTCGCGCAATATACTCGAGTTTCTCAAAAATATTTCGCGCTCTGCGGGAAACCGCGTTATTAACAACGTATGTATATCTTTCAAACAATACGAGCACAAAGTACGAGCTACGCGGTCTCTTTAATACGCAGCAAAAAATATTGCCCTAAATAACACCAGTTTAATTAACTTGATACACGAACGTCATACAAACTTCAAACGTAAGCTGAAAAATATTTAGCAATAAACTGGATTTAATTATAAACGTGAAAAAAACATTAATGGCATATCTTCGTGTCTGTTCTTATGCGGAATAGGAATATTCGAGTGAGTTTAAAAGCTGTCACGCATTCCTTTTGCGTGCGCGACTCGCCACGTCACTGGTTCTCTCGAATGAAAGTAGTAGTGACTATATATATATATACATATATATTCGATGAATATAATATCTTGTCGCGTAGTGCGCTACCGTTGTGTATGCGCGCACACAAAAAACAAGTGCGCCTTTATGTCGGCGAACGAACAGGATACGGGCGCACGATGTAATCAGCCTGTGCAGCGCAACCGAATCATCCTGGCGGTCAGGATTACACACGCGCGCACGGGAGAATAATTTATCATGAGAAATTTATTATTAAAGCGGGAATTGGATAAAGAGAAAATTATTGCGCTGCGGTAAAACGTGTGTAAGAAAAAGCTAAAGTAAAACGTAGTATCTCGTGAGATTAAAAAAATATATATCGATCTCTCTTTCCTTTTCTTTTTTTTTTTGAACAAAATTTCAATTAAAAAATTCCTGGATACTAGTCTTGTTAATTAATTTTGAATATTTCACGTAGATGGTAAAATTTGTTTTTTTTTTTTTTTTTTTTTTCATTTTCCTTTCTATTTTGTGCGTTGAATATATCAAAAAATAAAAAAATGTCATTTCCATCCTGAAAAAAAGTTTCAAATGTATCTTTTTTTACGTCTATTCGAATTAACAAATCGAAATCGTTTGAGGTACAAATCGTCTGCGCTTTTTATTCGCATCGAAGATTGCGAATTGTTTTTCGCAATCGCTCTGTCGTCAAGTTTCCTCAATTTCGTCTCTTCATTGATCAGATTTGTTAATGTCAGAGATTTGCAAACCTGATGCGCCTTCTCCCGTTAATTGACGCCTATTTGCATCTTTGTCGAGGCCGCGTTTCTGGCGCGTCGCAACAACACCACGTCGAATTATCACCTCGATGTCTCTTGCGAGTACCGCAGGATAGAGAGTAGGTATATATATATATTCGAGTTCGCTCGCGCTTACTCGCGTACGATGCAGACGGCGACATAACTGTACGCGCCATTCTTCCGAGCTACCTGAGCGAAAAGGTAGCGAGCGTGGCTGCCGTTGGTTGTTGTCGACAGTCAGGGAATCGCGCGATTTTCTCGCGATGCGTGCGCGTTCACCAAGGTAAATGCGAGCGAGGCGCGAAAATAACAGCGTGATGTTCCATGCGCATCGCGACGCGAACACGCGATTTTTTCGATGAAAAGTCACTACGCAACTACGCTAATGGACTCTGTTAAAGTGGCGAATTCGTTTGAAAAATGATCGAAAATTAAAGAAAATTTGTGCATAAGCAAAGCATTAAAAATCTTCGCAGTTTAAAAAGAAAGAAAGAAAGAACCAGAAGAGGAAACGTGGATTTGGAATGCAGTTTGTTGCAAAAAGTAGAACAGGATTATTCAAAGAAAAAAAAAATATAGTCACAATTTTTGTAAAAAGATGAGATGGTATAAAATCCTTATATGTTTATCCCTTTATTTGGTTTCAAAGCTTGCGTAAACTCGACAATCAATAAAAATCCATATCTGACACGCACAAAAGGACATACGCATCAGCTGCGATCGGTGCACCAAACACTAAACGGCAAAACTTGTTGAGTCAATGCGCTGAGAATGGGCGCGGCTCGGAATGTCGATCGTTTCGAAGGCTTGAGACGAGATGGCGAGAGATCGAGACAGAAACGTGAAGAGAGAAGAGAAGAAGAGAAAAGAAAAGAGAGAGAGAGAGAGAGAGAGAGAGAGAGAGAGAGAGAGACAGAGTCAAACTGTTGAAAGAAAGAAAACTGCGAAAAGAAAAACGAAATATCCTTCTCTCGAAAATATAAATTTTGTTAACGAGATAATTCAATATAATCGGCAGCTTTAGCTGCTGAGATAACTTTTCATTAAACACAAAATGTATGATACAAGTTTCCGCGATAATAAACAAAACATCACACAGGATGTCCTACTTCTGGCAACCAATAATTAATAACGATCAAGTTGCTATTTTGCGAGAATGCGCAAATTGAATAATTTTCTTTAGAATAAAAGTAATAAATATCAACGAAGATCTTTACTTGTCAATCTTCTTCTATTTAGAAGACATGTATTATATTATGTTATATATTACGTTGTGTGTGTGTGTGTGTGTTATATTACTGTGCCATGTTGTTAAACTCGTTTCTGTTTTAATAAGATAAAGAATTTTTATTATATTGGAGATTCTCTCCGCTTTTTTTCTTCTTTTTTACACATATTAAATATTTCTGCAAAATTTAATATTTAATATTTCTTTTATTTCTTTTATATGTATGCAAAGCGTAGATACTGGACATTTTATCTGTAAAGTGATTGGCAATCTTTTCGCATGCAATAGCTTCACATACAATTACGTATATTGTAATGATCACATTATGTGAATGTGACAACTACATGCTACAGTGTTTACCTGTATTGTACGCGCGCGCGCGCGCGTGTGTATGTGTGTCAATGTGTGTATGTGAATAATAATTTCTATTCTTACTCTGTTCGCAAATATTATTTGCATAACGCAAGAAGTTGCATCACTGTGCCTGAAGTTTTATTCACTTGCGCCTCGCGGATATAATTGTGTTATGAGCAATTTACGTTGTCATCAGTTTCATTATTCGTAAACAATACTTAGTAAAAAAAAAAAAAATACTTCTTAAAACAAAAGTATTATTTTTAGAGTTTCTTGCACACATCATACAAAATTTAGATTATTTGAATTTTTTATTCAAATGAATTTAAATCATCTATAACATTCTTTATTGATATTCTTTGAATTTTCTTCTATCAAGTACTTTAAATATCTTCTCTCGAACAATTTTAATGAAAAGGTCGTAAAAATATGTTCAACTTTCAATGATTCACGAAGGTAAACTTGACTTCCGACCCGTACATTCACCCGCACCAAGGACGGTCATAGGAAATCTTCTACTTCCTCTCTCATCTCCCTCTTTCTAAGGAAGAATTCCTGACAGATTGCATAATATCCTCGTTGATAGCACATTTTCTTCTAATTAATAATGCCTTTCACAAACGTGTTTTTTTTCTATCTTATCTCACACACTTCTCAGGTCGAATAAATTGTTGAAGTAATTTCTTCTCTTTAAATTTAATAATAACTATAAATACAGAATTACAAAATATTACATTCATTATATCACTATAATGAATAAAAACTTTTCATCTAATATTAAGTATCCTCCTTGAGGAGTCACACAAATGAGATTACAAAGATACCGATAATATTCATTGGCATGATGCAGTTACACGTAGCCACAAAAAAAATCAAATAATGTTACATTATTGTTAATAAGAACTATTAGAAAGCAAAGTTGGAAGAAAAGTTTTATATTATAAAAATAAATTTGTATTAAAAATAAATAATCGAGTTTCTTTATAACGTAATTGCATTTTTACAATTAAAGAGGGATGCAAATAAAATACAATTACTGACTCTTTCTTACTGACCGGACTTACATATATTTATTAGTTTGATACTTAAAGAGCCCGAGAGAGAGATAATTCTCTATTATAATTATATTATTTGTAAAATACAATTAGATTGACGATATATTTGTTGACAACAGTGTGTTCTGATCTCCGAATTAATATGAGATTCAGATGTGATTTTTTATCCCCGGACACGTACGAGATGATATCTATTTTCATGATCAAAGCCGGATTATCTGGGCGTGCAGAGCAGCAATTTAATCAAAATTTGAATAAGGACTGTGCTTGAACACAACAGAAGCACGTATTTGCATTCGAATTAGCTTTAACAACAATGCCGATGACGGTATCCTACGGCGAGATAAAGGTAAAACATCATCATAAAATTCCATTATCAATCCCACGCTCTCACAATCCATTGCGATTTTTTTTTTTCAATGCCACGGAAATTGCGTACTCGCAACGTGAATTAACTACGCGAGTAAACAATTTCCATTGTAATGCTTTGAGTTTCTAGCGAAAGATTCTTCGAAGTAGAATTACATAGAATTACATCATCTCTCGGGGGATTTGCTTATTCGGAATTTATTTACTCTTGAATATTTTTCTGAACGGTTAATCAATATATCATTTTCAATTGTTTGAAATTTCGGTGAGAAATTTCTTTTGTATAATTTTTTTTTTCACTTTTCCGTTGTTCACTGCTAAACAACTAGAAAAAATTAAAAAATTTTTGAAAGGGTTCTAACTACAAGTTTGATTAATTTTATTTGCTATCCCGAAATAATTCTTTTTTTATATAAACAATTATATTTAATTTCGTATTATTTTTATCTTACACTCGCGTTCTATATATTTGTCTTTCATATTGCGTGTGCTCTTTTGTCATTGCAAAATTTTTTTTTCATACGCATTACCTCTCGCATTATCAGTAACAAACCTGGATCTGAGCGCGCTTGACCTCGGTATAGAGCCAGTTGTCCGTGGAAAAGGCGATCGCCAGCAGAGCAGTGGCGATGATACCGGTTATGGTGGCGAGGGAGAGCGTCACCGCGGAGCACGGCATCTTATCGGTATATTTTATTCCTTGATGTCTCTGTTCACGTGTCCGTTTCTTTTTCTTCTTCCGTTAGCTTCACCTCACACTCACCGACGTAATTTACTAAACCACCACGACTATATATGTACGTGGATATATTCGCGCGTTCACGAGGGAAGGAGGAGAAGAGAGTTTTGTGCGCGCCGTGTGTTTCACCTTGAATAGGGAACCACGTTTCAGATATGGTTGTCTCGTGTCGTTCTCGATCCCGCAGGAGCACCGGAAACTGACTGAGAGAGAAAGAAGGTGGTCGTGAAGGATCGACGCTCAAGGATATATATATGTATATATATATATATATATATGCATATATATATATATTCGAAATTTCGGCCCGTTTAAAAAACGTTAAAGCGTCTTTCAGGATGCGCGCTTCACCGCGATGCACATGACAACACCACCGTTCCACCTTTCGCAACGGCAACGACACTAACGGCCCGACTTGCGACTTACCTCGAAGGAAAGCCAGCCGAGAGAGCAAGGAGAGAGAACCGGATCCCAGGTGGGGATGGACTTAGCCTCGGGCAGGTATATTACCTGTGTTTTACCCGCAGCGACGCTCAACTTACGACGGCACACAACCTGTTGCTGTTGCACCTGACACAACGAGAATGCTCTGCGCTCGAAGAAACGACTCTATCTTTCAACTCGAAAGTTGAAAATACTGTTGTTTCTTCGATTAGAATTTTACTTATCGTTCTTCTCACAAGAATTCCCGCGAGACTTTATTGTGATGATTGTTTCTTGCGAGATATCATCTTGACACTGCTGTGCAACGTAATAACGAAAATATTGCAAAAATCTTATTATCACTCGGTAAATTGAAAACCAGAACGGAATTAATGCGGTGTGTTCGAAATCGCAAGAAATTCACACGTTTATTCGTTTAATTCTTTCGCGTCCATTTAGCAGAATTAAAATTCTTCCAAATTATTTCATCAACTTTGTTCTCATAAATATTGTTGTAGTTGATTACAAAGTAACGAAAAGTTTTTGATTTACGTGAGCAAAACGATCGCGAGTTTTTCACAAGAGAGTTATTGCGAAAATAAGAATTAATTTTTGTATCAAACATGTGAAACATATGTTTACACGCAACACACTTGCCGTGGCGCTATATCCATGAAAACCTGTTTGTGTGTGCACGAGGTAAAAGCTTAGGAAAGTAGTAAAACGTTCTACGAAATGAGAACAGTTTCTTCGAGGCTGTCTATCTACAAACCCGCTCTTGCTTCGTCCCTATAGTGATTCCACCACCACTTATACGAGATAAAGTCAACGCGTAAACGCGCTGAGGAAAAGCGTAGGATTCTTCGCATTCTATAAACTCTCGGATCGCTCATGGATTTCGCACTACGATATGTTACTACTGAGAATTCAAAGAAGCATTACCCTCTGCTTTCGTAAATCCGCTATCTATTTCTTTACGTACAATATCTATATTTTGTATAAAATTGTTATATATATAATTTAAACTAAAATATATAATAAATAATAAGTGTATATAAATTTCGTATTTTTTTTATATCGAAAACTTCTTGTAGCTCAAACGTCCGCGGAGATCGTATAGTTCAAATTTGTTTTTAAAATAAAAAATCTCACACACGTTTTAAATATCGACATATTGATATAAATTTTTATACATTAAATAAATAAATACATATTTATTCGTAAGAGAAATGAAAATTAATAGATGAATGTTCCATCTCACGATATAAAATATAGTTATACTAAAGTTAGTTATACTAAATAGAGGTATATATTTACTTTTTAAAAATCTTTACATTTATTTTGAGATTCTTATATGACACGTATAAACTGTTGTGAGTTTTTTTTCAGTAAAATCTCTAAATATAATTAGTTGAAACGCACATAAATAAGTTTGTTTTTTTTCCGCAATTTTTTTATCTTAAATATAAAATAAGTACAAAATGCATACAAAATAGAAATATTTCGCAGAACAATGCAATTGATACACGTAAAATTTGTAGAAGTATCAATATACAATATGTATTTTAATTTATAACATCAGATATATTGCACAAAAGATTAACACATATACTAATTAAATTTGAGAACAGATGGATCATAAGGTTTACCTCGGAAAGGCGATCCTTCTGCATCCCATGCTTTTTTCAAACTTGCCTCTATATTTTTGCGATTTTTCTAAAACCATAAAACATGTATCATGTCATAAAATATAAATAATAAATTGAAGTAAATATTTGTTATAACACATATGCTAGCTGGACACAGAGTATGTGTACGAGACATGGAAGATTACCTTCTCATCTGTAGTTTCATTGCCCGAGAGTTTCTGTTGATGATTCCACATCAATTCTTGCACTTTCATTTGTTCATCTGGCGTCATATCGTCAAAATTTTTCGAACAGTCTATCTGGCGTAAATCGATTTTCGGTTCGTTAACTATCAAAGCATCCCACCATGTTTCAGTAACTTTTTCAAGATGAATCTATAGACAAATAATTAGATAAATATACAATGAGTAACATATACTTAGATAATTCAAAGAATTAGAAATACAAATCTTTGTTTACACACACTGATTTGTTTCCCGGGTACAATACTCCACATAGATTCATCTTTCCGAATTTTGAAACTAAATTTGCCATTGAAAAGATTTTTCCAAGTGGAATCTTCTCCAGAATCAGACGACTTAACGTCAATTCTGATTTCATCCGAAGTTATATTGACTTTGAGAAAGCTAGATGATTTTACATATTCCGGTATGTTCACAAGTACATCCAAATCAGTAAGAGTTTGAGTCCAGACATAATTATCTCTCACAGCTCCATTGTAACTGTCTGCTGTGTGATCTGTATTGGATGATTTTGCAGAAGAAACTGTGTTATCAGAGTCGTTACATGGTGCAGTTTTTTTGGTCTCTTTTGTGGAATTAAAACATTCTGCATTATTCTCATTAGTTTTACAATTATCTGTAGACAATTTTCTCTTCCGTGAAGAATTTAATGCCCAATCCTTCCATCTGCTCAAAGTGCTTGCCACAAGTATATCTATTTCTTTGTGTGCAAATCCTATTTTCTGCATAGAGTTTTTCGGGTGTTCTTCATAAAAATCTGTGCTAATATCACAAAATATATTACACAAGGAAGTAGATCATTAATAAATTCTAAGACAATTCTGAGAAAAAAAAAGTATAAAAATAATGACATTCTAAAGAGATTGATATACGTACCATCTGTATAAGAATCCAAAAATAGTATCCAAGAAATTAGCCACGTTTTTTGATTCGCGAAGTACGTGCATTAACGATTCGTCGTGTTTCGAATCCATGATTGTATACAAAAGAAAATCACCACGAAGTTCTGTGGTGAAACTTTTATATTGTGTTTGACAGACAAAACTCTAGAATTGTTAGTTGTTTGTAAGAGAGAATAAGTGACTAAACGTAATTTAGAACAAACTTATACATGTAGTAACAGCTCCAAGTTCAGAAAAAATTTATAGTAAACAGAACTCTCGATGGACATATATGGCTCCGAATTGTGTACAGCTGACTTTGACAATATGGCGCGTTTCAACAGGTACACATCTCTTTAGTATACATGTACGCACGTGTCTCGATATTTTGAAAAAAATGTAAAAGACATATAAAACTCTCTTGCTCTTATTAATTAATTTTAATAATGAAATAAGCAGTAATAATCTTATCGGATTATATGAATATCAGCTAAACTAAAAGGATATTACCGTACGTTGATGGAGATTTGGTTGAATTTCAACGCCAAAAGATGGGGCATTTTATCACTGATTAATGCACATGCTCGAAAAAGTGTTTCTGCTAGCGATAGATGACAGATTTGGGTTTGTAAACATCTTTCGTGTGTAAACCGTGTAAACATCTTTCATTTTTGCGAGTTAAGCATTTTCCGATTGGTCATATTCAGAAATTGTGGCTCAGAGTTGTGTCTAATAATTCTTATTGTCTTCGAGCGCGTGTTTTCTACTCAATGAAATAACTGCAGGATAAAAAAGAGTGGCTGGAAGATTTTATAACCTGTTAAAAAATCGTAATATCGGTTGCTGGGCGCGTTAATAATACGACACAAGAAAACTAATATTTTTACACTATGGCAAGCGTTCCTGGATTTACGTTAGAAACCGCAAAAGGTATGTATTCAGAGAATATATGTACGTACATTTTCTAAAATGTAAAACAAATCAGTTACGCATTTATATTATAATTGAAAATACCGCATGCCTTCAATTTTTCAAATTGATATTGAAGAAACAGACTTCTCTGTTCAAGAAACAAATTCTTTGTTTATTTTTTAGCTGTACTGACAGATATTCTGACAGCATTGAATACACCAGAAAATCTACAAAAACTTACAGAAGCGAAAGAAAATTCTGGCAATGAAATGTTAAAAATGATGCAGTTTGTATTTCCATTAGTTACACAAATTCAAATGGATGTCATAAAAAATTATGGATTTCCGGAAGGAAGAGAAGGTTTGTTTGTGTGTTGTTTGTGGTTGCGTTCCGATATTCGCTGCCGCTACTAAAAATCTATACTTCACGTCGCACATGCTATATAGATTCTCAGTACTGGCAGTAAATATCGGAACAACTTTTATAAGCTTGAAATTATTTTTTATTTTTCTTCTTCTTCTTATTATTATTATTAAAAACAATAAAATAGAATTATATATTTACCGAATGTGTGTAAAACAGGAACTGTACAATTTGCGCAACTCATTAGAGCTTTAGAGAGAGAAGATGCTGAAGTAGCACAATTACACAGCCAGGTGCGTTCGTATTTTCTTCCACCAGTTACGATAAATTCTTCAACCGAAGCATCTCTTTAAACTAAATTTACATAATCTTTGATATATACAGACTTTTATCATCTATAAAAAAAAAGTTCACATGTATGTGTGTGTGTTCATATATCTTGTACATTAGTTTTATTTTATCACTGCCTTAAAAACATAAATAATTTGTGTGTAAATTTAAACAAATTATTCTATATATTACTTATTAAATATTCTATAAAAATGAAAATTTTATATATCACATTTTGTTTCGATATTTTAATAAATTATATATTGCAATTATATTAATTAAATTATGTATAAGATGCAAAAGATAAGTCTTACTACAAGCTATGTGAAAAATAAGTAATATATATATATATTTTTTTTTTATTGAATAAGTGAATGAATCATGTAATATTTCAATTAATATTGTTACGATCGCCCGATAATCATGAAATCTTAGTGCACAATCTTATTTTCTAGAAAATAAGAAAGTTTCAAAGGAATCTTGAATATTTTTAATTGAGAAAACTTAAAAATTTTATATTTATTTATATAATATTAATAAGTATGCCATATATATAATCTACTAAAATATATAATATTTATTTATATAAATGTTCTTTGAATTTCTTTCCCGCTATTACATCAGCTTTAAAAATTTTTAAAATATTCTACTTGTTCGCACAGAGATGAAGTTGTGTACATAAATGATTTTTATATTCATTATTACATATATAAAATGAATAAAAAATATAGGTATAGAAACAAAATTAGAGGATAACAAAAAAAGCACTACAAAACAGAAATATAGAACGATGTGTCACCTTATACGCTCAACAGCGTTATTGGTTAACAAAGGATCTTTCATTTTATATTTTTGAAAAATTGCTTAAATAATATATAAAAATATAAATTTTTACACAATCGTTATATATATATATATATATATTATACATTTTAACTTCATGTCCTGGCGAACATCGGCATAAATTACAGATTAAATTATACAATTTCACTCATATAAGCAAGTATGTTAACTGCGCAAAGCCAACAGAAATTGAAGATGTAACGATAAATAATACATTGGAATCAACACATTTGCTCGATTGCTTATACACACTGTTGAATCGTGTAATTTTCCCGATTGATTTATAATAGAGATAGTTCGATGGTTGCAGTTCCCCTTTGTCAATGTTATGTAGCGACATTGACAACGAACAGTTGTCTTCGTATAAAATTGGAAAATGTATCGTTTTTTTTTTGTTTTTTTTTATTTTTTTGTTTTTTTGAAGTAAATGATGATACACATCATGTAAAAGTTTGATCATTTTCTTTTAAAAAAGTTTAGCTCTTTATGTTATTCATGTATAAGTTGTATTTTCTACACCCCTTAAACAATACTATTTTCTACAAGAATAGAACATGGCAATGACGATGAGTCGAGCAATAGCCTCGTGGGAAATATATCAAAACTTCTTACATATAAAGCACACCACAAACATTTGACAAGTGGGGAACGATACACTATAATATATATGTACATTGTTTTTTGTTTTTTTTTGTTATATAAATCAAAATACATGTTAATAAATTTGTTACACACAAAGAAATCTGATTTGTATCGTTCAAGTCATGCGAATTTTAAAAACACGGGTAGCGAGTAGGCAAGAACTTGCTCTGTATAGATTTGCTATTATTTATTCTACAAGCGACTTCGCTTTTAAATACCTTGAGGGATTTCGGTAAAAATGTTAAATATGAATTGAATACACGATCTTCGATAAGAAATAACGCATTTGTTATTTCAATTTATACATCGATGATTCTCACAAATACGCGGCGGATATACGTAAATTCTTATTTCATTGCTCTCTTTGAATTTGATTCTTCGGCCACGTTAAGTTTGCACGAACTTGACGTAGTATTTACGGTTGATCGAAACCGAATATCCAGGTAATAAAAACAACACAAGATTATTTACTCGATGTGCCGTCAAAATAATGCAAATACTACTTTCACAGTTTTTGTTTCACTTAAAAGTGTCCTATGTGTGTCAAATAGCGTGTACGTTATCTGTGAACTGACCGTCTGTACAGCTGTAACAAATTCGTGTTTCTGTGCAACACAGTAGCTGTCCCTGCGCTACAAGTTCTGTTAAAAAGTAAGCCACACTTACGAATTTTGCAAACCATAAATCTATGCGCATTTAACGCGAACGGAGAACCCTGGTCGATATAACAACGCATTTCCAGATCACGATTACAGTCTCACGATCTCGTTTTTACTGTAGAAAACATGTGTACAAATGTAAAACGCACAAACCGATCTTAACACCAGCTTTATCTTATGTTCTTTTATCCAAACAGCGAAGCGACATTGCTGAGCAGTCTTTCCCTGAATCGATTCGTACATAGAAAATAGTTCATATAGAGAAAGAAGTTTATATAAAATCTAGTCGTACTTTGGAATCGCTTAAGCGTTCACAAAGTTAAAACATGATTTAGGTGTGTTGTACCTTTTCAACTATCCAACCATCGTTTTAATTACACATATTTCACACTTCTATTAGTTAGTTGTTAAGTGATTACTCCACAATAAACTTTAAAAAGCGATTAGTACATGCAAGAAAGAAAAAAAACTTGTACAACGGTCATAAGTGTGTTACGTTATATAATTCATTGAAAAATAATGGTTTTTAATTAATAAATATCCATTGATGGGATGATGGTCTTTCCTTCTTACATCGCGTTTCACCCTTCTCACATAATAATTGCTACAATTAAAGTATTTTTTTCGTTAACCGAAATCTATACCGTATAGAATTACAAGTAGAATTGCAAATCATGTCTCGTAGACCGCAATAACTATGAAGATTTCGATTGATCGATCAGGCTACGAGAGGAACGGATTAGCAGTAGATGTATTTGCTGCTGTCCATGGATCCTGTCGAATCTGATTGATTGTAGGACGGGGTGGTGGCGTCACAGTTGCAAACGGATTTGCTGGATATGACATAGTTGCTATAAAAATTTAATATATTATTAGAATAAAATAACTTCTAAAGAGACAATGCAATTATTTAAATGTTTTTACTTTTTTTTTCTTTTTCTAGTATGTAACAGTTTGATATTTTTCGGTAATTTATATATATTTGACATACTGCACAAAATACATAGATACAAGTAAAATTATATAATTGCGAAAATTAAGAAGAAAAAGAAGTATCTATTTATAAAAGAGATAAACAAATCCGTGTAATATATATTAGAATATTATTAGAATATAGAATATATGTGTGTATATATATTTCGAAGAAAGATTCAAATCACAGTACTCCCAGCTATAAAAAAAAAAAATTAAAAAATGACGCACTGAAATAATATATGAAAATACATCATAAGCAGTAATATATATACTGTATATTTCAATCAACTCATGCATTCATGCCACATTCTTAGTCTTATTACTGATACTCACGAACTCTTATTTCCAATGAAATGCTATTTTGCAGAATTAGAGTGTTACACATAAAAAAAATAGATGTATATGTTTTTTTTATAAAATCTGAGTTATCGTATAGCGACTCTCTATTGTTTTAATTAGATTTTACCTCTGATGGAGTTTAATGCTAAAAAGAATTTAATATACAAAAACTTTTTATATAAGTACGAAAAAATATGAAATATTTGACCAATAGTACATTTAAGCGGAAATATTTAGAATACTGGACTTATCTTTTTCTCAATATTTATGCATTTTGCACAATTTTAATTGCGGACACAAAAGACTTACTTGCAGGCGTAGGAGCGGCAGGTTTAATCGCCGAAGCACTGACGAGATTATCCAAATTGACAAGCGCAGAATTTTCCCCTAAGAAGGATTGTGGTGTTTTTTTCACAGCACCTGTGCTGGCAGGAAGATTATCAGCCATGCTTCCCAGATCGAAGGGATCTCCTGATGCTGATGTACCATCTATTTAAACATTTATACATACTTTTAGAAAATATTTTAAAACATTTTACTAGAAAAATTTGGATACTTTAATGATTATAAAATACCATTATTAACTGTTTGTGGACTACTTCCAAGTTTTGCTCTGTTACTGATGACGTCGAATTCGTCTAAATCACTTAGCGGACTCGTTGCAACGGCGTTACCATTATTCTGAGAAGAAAAATTGCTAAACCCCAATCCTGTACCGTTGAAACCATTGCTGGTAGTACTGAGAGTAGTAGCGGTTGAAGACGCTGGCGGTAAGTTAAAGCCTAAATTTTGAGGAGATTGTGTTGCAAAGCCGATGTTTTGCGTCAAAGTTGAGTTGCTGAAAGATGATGACGATGCTATGCCATCTTGAGTCTATAAAAAAGAATATATTAGGGAAAGATTTTAATTTTTACATACATATTCTCTCTTATGACTATCGTAGAATTGGCAAGGATTTTAGGAGAATAAACTTATGTCACCTTGTTCGTTTCTGATTCAGTAGTAGATGGAACTGGTAACCAAGGATCATTCGCACGAGGAGGAGATACGACCGTAGCAGGAGATGGTGCAGGTGCGCGCCATGGATCGATAGCGTTAGCTGTAATTAAAGAATTGATATTGTGAATCAATGAAAAGAAATATAAACGTAATAATACTTAGAGATTATTTTGACAAGCAATTGTGATCGTTTTTAACAAAAATAACACAAAAAAAGATTAAATAAAAACGTGCTGTAAAAAAATAAACTATTGCGATACACGTTCGTAACGATACTCACCTGATCTTTGAGGAACAGGTGTCCACGGATCTACCGAGGGTGACGTAGTACTCGTTGTGGGAACACTCCACGGATCATTTTGTGGCTGCACAAGACGAAACTCTATTAATCATTCTTCAATCACTCCGCTATGGTTATTCTATTCGTTTAAATATATAATTTTGATTTCCTTCACAACACGTTCACTGGACATACCTTATATTCATGTAACTTAGATAAATCCAAAGACTGGTGCATATCATGCAAAAACGACATTCGTTACCATGCAAAGTGCGATTATCTAATTTGTTGTTAAATAAGCACAAAGTAGCACTTAATGAAATAAGCACAAAGTACCTGAGGTCTGGGCGGCGCAGTTATCGGAACGCCCCAAGGGTCGGTTTGTGCTTGCGCAGAAGAACCGCTTGCTTCTCCTAAATGTACATCAAGTAAATCTAAAATGTGACTTTGCTTCTCGGATTGCGGAGCTCTGCAATTGATACATCGATACGTAAAATGAAAGATCGAATATTGTTTTATATTATGTTAAAAAATTGCGTTGATCACTCACTTAAAATCTTGCTGACTCTGGCTGAGGGCTAACTGTAATCTTACATCATCGCTACGCCTTCTTTGTTCCTCTTGCTCCGCTTCTTCTCTAGACATAGCCAAGGCCAGTTGTAATTGTAATTCTTCTTCTCCTACTGTTTGCGGTCTTGCGGCTTCCAGTTCCGCTAGAAAAAAATAGATTTTTTTGTTAATCTTTATATGAAATAGAAATAGTATTTTAAGAAAAATGTGCATGAAATATGATGAGAGAATCTAGACCAAATGCATTTAAAAAAAAAATTATCTCTCTGCGATTAAAACAATCTTAATACCAAAGATTGTAATACAAAAAATTTTATAATAATAAAGAGAAAATTTACTTGCACGTCTAGCCGATGGTTCAGATAAATTACAAGGCTCCCAATCCTGAAACTGTGTAATAACTTATTGTTTCTTTTAATAGTAGTTTAAATTGATATTATATTCATCAATAATATTACTTACGTCTCTGCTAACAGGAGACATCGTATCTAAACCGTCACTTCCAAAACCACTAACAGACTGTGCAAATCTCTCTTTTGCTTTCAATGCACGAGCTCGCTCGTTTCTCAATCTCTCGTCATCTTTTAATAAGGCCACTAATTGTTTTGCTTTCTCCCGCACATTAATTCCTTGATCTTTATGCCCGTCCATGTATTGGAAATCTACACAAAAGTTTATACAATTATTAAAAAGAGAAACTAGAAGTAAAAAAAAAAATCAACACCTCTGACAAGAGCGATAAGAAGAGCTCTGAAGAGAAGAGATAAAATTTGTGTTACCTTTTAAAGTTTGGATGGCAAAAATATTCTCTTTGCACTGTTGCGCTACTTTTTCACTTCCTGTCTTGATGAGATACTCTAAGAGAACTAAAGCTTTGTATACGTGCCGCCAATTTTTCCCATGATCGTTTAATCTCTTCCATAACATTTGCATAATCTCCGTAAATGCTACAACATTGTATGTTAAGTCGGCAATTTCTGCCATAAGTGTACTACTTGGACCCCAAGGATCATTACTGGTAGCTTTTCGTACAGCTTTCTATAGAAAAAAAATCAAAGTTGTTTTTAGAAACATTCTATTGTTATCATTGTATATTAATAAGGATGATACTTTACCTGAGCATTGCTATAGTTATGGGCGAGATTCATAATATCTCGTCTAATACCTGCTAGATTCATCTGCATGACGTCTTGACCTTGTCTCCTCATCTATAATATTATTGCTATTTGTTACTCGATTATTAGTATTATATGTATCTTCCATATAGAAGCCCATATTTATTATCGTATTTATTAAACGCAAATTGAGTTATATGTCAGATATACATTTGACAAAATTACTCATCAAAAGTTATAACATGTAAGGATAATATATTTAAAAAATCTATAAATATTAATATCTCTATGTGTATTTCTTAAGTTTTCTAATAGATTCTTGATGATTTTTTCACTAATTTGTAGCGTGTGTATACATAAACACACGCTAAACAACACACACACATTGAAACTTTATTAGGATTACTTATGTATATACATATAGTTACTGTGTAAAGGCACTATAGAAAATATACAATTAAAATCGTAATACAAGAAATTTGATAATAAATATAGGCAGTTTATTTATATACAAGCCATGCAACAACATATGCATTATACATGTGTAAATATTACAAACCCAAACATATTATGTAAATATTACAAAATAATATTAGTAATAAAATGATTCAGTAAAATATAAATTTTATAATAATAAGGTAATCGATATATACAGAAAAAATTTAGAGATAGAAAAAAACATGCATATTATTAAAAGTAGATTTTTGTAAAGAAAAAAAATGCAAAGAAAAAAAGATCATATAACTTATAAGAGGAATATTACCTATTTATACCATGTTCACACACAAATATATTATATCAAATATGTCTATTCTTATTGATTATAAACGTTGGTTTGTTAATATAAAAAAACATATATACATATATATACATATATACATATACATATATATACATATATATACGTATACATACATACATACATACATACATACATACATACATACATACATACATATATATATAATTGGCAAAAAATATATTTTCAAATAAAATTATACAAGCACACAAAACTAAAAATATACACAAAGCAGCTTTATACATATATAACTTCAGTGTTCGTCATAACTTCAATGTTCGTAATTTGAAGTACAATTTATAATCAAGTTTTATATAATTAAATGTTCAATTACATAATTTAAAAATATGCTTATATATGTCACATATAAGTACAAAAAGTTGTTAAATATTTTAAGAGAAAAAGAATATTTATCCTTTTCGAATATTACTTATGAGAAAATATGTCCTCTTGAGATGTGCCTATATAAACTTGCAATTTTAATATATTATTACATGATTTGTTTTATCTTCAAATTAATATTAATGAAACTTCAAATAACACACTGTGTGGTAACAGTAAATAAATCAATTTTATAAATAAGTCGTATAAAATAATATTGATGCAATACTGACTTGCATAATGTCACATATTTGTCATTACCAATTTTTATTGTTACTGTTATTTTACTGGTAAATGTTAAAAATATAATAAAAGTGCATTATAACAAAAAATAAAAAATAAAAAATAAAATTGAATATAGATCACACATACAACATAACAATCAGAGCTCGTAAAAATATTAAATTATTTTTACATAGAAAAGATTGACACATATTATTTATTTAACACAGAAATCTTCTAATAATATGTTTTAACATCAAGTATCTCAGGTTATCAAGTGAGTATATTTGTTAATTCCAACAATTGTGAACATTATTGAAATTTACCTTTTGCATTGCCATTCTTGATTAATGAAATATCACTGGCGTAGTTGAAGAAGTTCTAGGAAATGTATTGCCCAGAAATATTAAATACTCCGAATCACAACAAAAGCCTAAACTGTCAGAGACAATACAATAAGTATGGAAAATTTGATACACATTTACCACATTTAATAAATGATTATTTTGTATATATGGGTGATAATGACATTAAAATTAATTAGTTAACTAATAATATTATGCAAATGAATATTACATAAAGTTTTAAGTTTAACAAAAGTCTTAAAGAAATTTTATAAATATACAATCGCGAATATTCAAAACATTAATAGTGTTATAAATATTTGACACATTTGTAACAATTGTTAGCATAATTATGTTACAATCAATTAAATTAAAAGAAAACAAGGTCACAGGCAGTTTTGCTTTTAATAGGCACAACTCATTTGTTTTGTTTTTTATAATAATATTGTTGATGTTACACACATCACTTTAAGTTATAACTGTCTTCCATTGAAAAATTTGTACTTTTAAAAAATTTGTACTTGTTTAAACATGTATTTCACAGTGAAAATATAAATATAATTTAAAGAATGCAAACAGATAATTATAAATAGTAATTTACAATGACTAATATAATCTTTGCATAAAATGTTATCATCCATGTAGCACATATTACACATGTTGGAGGATTAATTAGATATAACTTGGATTAATTTTAAAACAAAAATATTCAGTAAAAAGTATGTTTACATAAATTTAAAATTAAAAAACAATCTTCTATACTGTAATTTATCAAAAACAAATTTAATCTTTTTATTATGTTCTACGTCCTAGTTATAATTATATTTAAAACTTATATTAATGTATCACATAATATGTATAAGTGACAATTGATCAACACATGTGATAATTGATCAACTACATAAAGAAACTTATTATACTTCATTAAACAACATAAAATATGTAAACCACTAAGCCAAGGAAAAAAATATGTGTGTACTTTCCCTCTTTTTCTTTAAATAATACAAACTATTTTACAAGCAATTGCAACTTATTTCAAAATTTGAAAAACTTACAGGAATAAAAACCTTATTTAATCAAAAGCTACCTTATTTGCAGATGATAAAATACATGCAGAAAAATTTGAAAGAAAAAAAAATTACTTACAGTGATGAATATAAAGATGCCTTTTACTAGAAATGTACTGCTCTTCTGAAAAAAAAAAGAGGACAACTTTTTTATCTGTAACTCAATATTCTGTTATATTGTTTTAATTGCTTATCTTATCTAACAGATATAGTATAGATATCATTCTATTCTTCATTGGAGCAATATATTATCACTGTATCTAAGATTAATTAATAAGAAAAAAGCAGAAAACATTCTAAGTATATTGTTTTAAAAATAATATCTTGAAATATCTTTAATACTTTAACTACCAAAATGATTTTAAATACATGGATGCCATATATTGTCATAGTTTATAAAAAGAGAAGTGTAACAATATAAAACATTTATATTACATAATATTGATTATTTATGTTTATCAGTAAGTTATTAATTCTTTCTGTCAATCATACAACAAAACATATAATTGCTTTCATAACATCATGACAATTTGCTCTTTCTTCTTACTATCAACTATGACTATGCAAAAATATTACCTAGACTTGCTTGCAAAAAAAAAAACAAAGTAAAAAGCATAATTGCTAAAAATGCTAGAAATATTATCTAATGCATTTCTCGAACTAAAGTGAATTAACATTTCTTCTAAGGTTTCCTTCCATCATGTTAATAGCATTATACATGTAATTGACCATGAAAGTATTGATCATTGTTCTCTCTGCCCTTTTGTACTACTTAGTTAATTTTTTATTTAATGTATAGAACATGACAAGTATAGTTTATATGTTATTGTTTATATATATATATATAAACAATATTGTTTATATATATATATATATTATTGTTCTAACAGTTTTATATATTAGAACAATAACAAGCAATAAATAAGAAAAATTGAAATATTAATAAAATAACAGATGATCAAGATGTAATTAGTCGATTACAGCAGATAAAATTTGGAATGAATATATGTTTCAAAACATATTTTGAGAGAAATGTTACATTATGCATTTTTACTGTGTCAAATGGAAAATTTCAATACTTTCAATTTAAAAAACAGAAAATTTCACTTTACAATATCTTGAAGATTGTCAAATGATGCAATGACATGCACAAATACACAGAATGGCAGGATACGTAAGTAGAAAATTGCTTATACTATAAAAATTACTAGTAAATTTAAAGAGATTGATGCAAACTGCGCGTGTGTTCTTTTTCACTCGTCACGTTCTCCTGCGCCACGAAATCACGGGTAAACGTTCTACGTCAGTTGTGAGTCGGAGCCGTACATACCGTCGCTCATACACACACACCACACACAGTCAAGTACGCTCGCGAGCTGTACAAAAGAGGGAAAAAAAACGAGAAAAACAGATGGATGCATTCCCGTTTAAAGAGCAACCACATCGCATCGCGGCGCGTACCGCTCACTCCGGACTCGTGACTACCAAATGAAGTAATCACACCGCGTTACACATCTATCATCGATTTCCAAACGGACCCTCGTGCGATCCGACAGACGTCGATTTCACGGTGACCACCGTTTCCGCGTAACTTCGTTTTTCCTGAGAGTAGCAAGTTCGGCGAAATCGCGCGAGGAACGGGCGCGGCCGTGTCTGTTGTGAATCGCCTGTCAGCGACCCGTCGTCGACGCGGATGCGCGCATACAGACGAGCTATCTTGTTCCTGGTTTTTTTTCCCGTCGCGGAAGAGCAACACGTTTGTGACGGCGCGCGCGGAATGTCACAAAACGCGCCGCGTGAGATTCCTCGCGTGCCGCGACTCCGTCGCTACTGTTGACTGAGTGACGAGGACGATGATAATGACGACAACGAGGATGGATGATGATAATGATGATGATGATGACGACCACGATGATAATAATGATGATAATGATGATGACGATGACAACGACGATGAAGATGACAACGCGAGAACGACAACGACGATAACGACGATAACGACGACAACGACGACGACAATGACGGTGACAACAAGCGATGGCAACGATGGGAACACGTTTGTACTCACCTTAGTACACGTGCGTGTACCACTCGGAAATTTTCAAAAACGCGAACTTTTGAACCGACTGGGAAAGACAGGGAGAAGCAAAAGAATATAAAACACTTATGACAAGTCCATTCACAGGCACTGACGAATTACAATGTGATCGCGTAGCAAGATGGCGCTCAAACGCTATTTCCGCTTTGCTCCGCTCGCCGCGCCCGCGCTCGGCATCACTCGACATTTTGTTCTAATCGTTTCAAATTGTTTGCGCTCTTTTCTAGAATGATCTATTTGTTAGCTAGGTATTCTTCTTGTTCTTTTCGTAAAAAAAAAAAATTATAAGATTTTTTTTTGCAAAGTTGAAAAAAATGATACATAGATTTTTATAAGCGTCTTAAATAATTGTAAATATCAGGAAAAGACAACTATTATAAATAAAAAACATCATATTGAGTTTTAATTATTTATTTATTACATTCAGTTGACTAGATTGATGTTACAAATATTTTGTTTATTGCAAGTTAACGTTAGCTATGCGATTATAAAGTGATTGTACTTATATTACGTTTATAAACTTTTTTTATGTTACGCATCATAAACATACTACGTAGTCGGATATATATAGTATACTTTATTTAAGGCACAGTAAATTAAAATCGCGTTCAGAATATGTATCGAGAGAAAAACAATTCCGAACGATAACTTCATAGATAGCTACAGGGAATTACGCATGAAAAAAAAAAAAAAAAAGAATTAATTTGTACAGAACTATATATATCACTAAACCAGCTTCTAAAAAAATACACATATCATTATTTTTATTTCTTATACATAAATACTCTTTCTGAAATAAAAATAAGTATTTTTTACTATATTTCTACTGTATATTTTTCTCCCCCTGTATACTCTTTTCCCTAGATATTTCTAAAATACCTAGGAATTAGGAAAATAAATATTTAGATATTTAATAAAATATAAGAAGTACGAAAAAAAAATATTTAGATACTTAATAAAATATTTCGATATTTAATAAAAGTATATTTTAAGTAGAAGTACATATAAATTAAACAATTTCGAAGTAATTTACCAAATTAATGATAAGTCTCGTCTGTAAACTATTAAATTGTGAAAAGAATTTGTGCACGTTTTTGAAGATATTTTTTTTGAACATTGAAACAAATTTTAATCTATTCGTGTGTCAACACACACACACAAAGTACATTAAAAATGAATAAGCTTCTATAGACTCAACAGGTAATTATATATCTGTTATTGCATCGTATAAAAAAGGAACATTAAATATATATTTAATAATTATAAAAAACTATTTGACAAATTAGAGAACTGAATTTCAATACATTTATCTCATCATTGCATAATCACTAGTAACACGTTAACTGTCACATCGTCTATGTATGTATCTGTTAGTGCCTCATTATTATTTCTTAAATAGTAGTAAAACTAAATATTTTCAATAGAACACTTAAACTAATAAAACATATCATGAAAAACAATTGCAATTAACAAAAAATAATACTTTACTGTAAATAAATACACTAATGACACAGTCAACGTGATATTTTAAAGTAACAAAGATAATCGATAAAATCATTTTTAGTAGAAGAATCATTCCTAATGATATTCCGTAGTTGGAGTCACATTGATCATATCGGCGGTGCTAAAAAAAAAAATTTATATATATATACATATATATATGATAACTGTACAAACAAAAACTCACTGCACATAACTCTTTAATTTGCTTAAATAAAATCCAACAATAATATATAAGCACGTAAAAAATCAAAGTGCTTTCAACAACTGAAAAATTATATTAACGATTTTAATCATTTTTGTTTAAGGCATGCTACATGCTTTTATATATATTTGTTCATATTTCTTTGAAAGAATGACTTCTATTATAATTTGTAAAATAACTTGTATACATATATGTATATTTATTTCTTTAATAAAGATTGTTAGAAGTTATATTCATACACATCAGCATAAGAAGCAAAAACTATAAGAGATGCACCTGACACAAAAATGTTTGGATAAAGTATATAATAAATGTAAGGTGATTTTGATATATATATAATATTATAATATGTAGAAACTCCTATATATTATAATTATAAAATTGCTTACCTCTTATAATTTTTTAAAAGTAATTATACAATTATTAATAAGCGATAGCATTATTTAAACAACGTTATTTAATGTCGAAGAGAAGAGATTACATGTAAGAACTTATCTTAAACAATTGCTCCATTTTTTTTTTTTTTTGACATACACAGTTTAGCAAAGCATACGATACATTAAATATGACTAGTCGAACTAAATATCAGGTACTTCTTTTACACACACATATTGTTATTGAAGTATAGAAATATCGAAATTGTAATGATAAAACGTCGCCCAACTGGTCATATTTTACCACACAAAGCAACATTTTGTGTTAATCAGAGTAGATATAACACAATATCACAAACACTTACAAGAACATACACGGTGTGCCTAAGATTATTTTCTTGTAGTCATCTTTTACATTAGTCTGCTGTATAACATATATCAGATTACATTATCACAAACTCACATGTACAAAAGAGAAATATTAAATCTTGTACCTCTTTTGTATGATCTAAGAGTTAAGTTGTTACAAAATACGAGTGAATATATACAGCTACATGTTTCAATGTGCACAAAGTTTAAAATTACACAAAATTTAATGTCTGTGAACATTAAAGATATTAATAGAAGTTTTTTGCTTTTATATGGATTTTGCATTCAGTAACCGTTGTAGTTGTTCCTTCACCGTATCAAAGATGTTGTTAAGCTGAATACTTTTGTTTTTTATTTGTATACATAGACAAGTGAAAGAAATAGAGCATATAAGTAGACAGTGATTACCTCTTGGAACATTTAATATGTATAATGAGCAATGCTATGCCCAGAACCAAACATAAGCTTCCAACAATAATGTAAGCATAACCAAGGAAAGGATTCTTTCCTCCTAAGAGCGAAGTTGTACTTAAAATCATCTTTTTCTTTCCATGAAAGGCGGATACTGAAAATACTGAAAAAAGATATATGAACATTAGCTCTTATAATATATATATACATAATCTTGTGTGTGTTCCATTTATAAATTGTTATTAATATATTGCTTATAAATTATTTATATTTATAGATTATTCTTCTGTGTAAATATTATAAAGTATAAAATTATAAAAGTTTAATTTTAATTTGCTCAAATCACTTACAATACTTGATTGTAAGAGTATAGTTTCCTGCAACCAGACCACTTTTAAAGCCATCTTGCTCATGGTCAACTCTACGGTAAAGTTTTCGGAAAGTTGGCAATGCAGCAGTTCTCATCCATACAATTAAATCTTCATTTTGAAATCCATTGTTGTCCGGATTATCAGGATCCAACTGCCAGATTTCTTTACTCCAATTCTTTGGCTTGGCAAAGGTTTTAAATGCCGTCTGCAAATCTCCCTCAGGATTTCTGAATTTGATAGTTTTGTCAGATGGCCAAGCTATGCCAGTATTTAGCAACGGTACAGACTTATTATGCTTTATAGAAAACAGTGTTAGCTCATCGCTAAAAAGTGAATTGGCAATGGCTCCACATGGAGCAATCGGACGGTTAGTGCCATTTTCATTGTGATACGCAAAAGGTTCACAATCGGTTGAAACTATGTCACTTAGTTTTCCTAATAATTGAGTATCATCTCGAGACTTAACATATCTGCGATGATTCTGATAAAAGTTTGTTAGGCCATAATACATATAAACTTTGTCAACAAAAGGCTCACGAAGCTCAAAAGTAATCTTACAAAAACAGGACTCTGTAGAATCTTCTGCAAGTACATCTGCACATTTCTTATGTAATTTATTCTCACCAGTTATATTAACGGATTCACAATCAGTGTAATCTACAATATGTTCTTTGACTTCATCAGAAAAATGAAGTAGTCCTATACCAACTGGTATAAATGCAACTCCTATTACAAAGAATGTAGGTAGAACTGTGCCAGCTGTAAGTATTGGTTGCCAGGCTGGTAACCTTTGTTGCTTGAATGCGCTATCTGTATATACCAAAGTAAGTCACAAGTGTATATATATATATATATATAAGCAATTTCGTTAGAAATAAAATTTGTGTATATGCTATATTTGCTATACATAGTATAGCAAAGAGAAAACGAGAGATAGAGAGACTGTTTTTTATAGATTAAATATTTATCTTCAATATTTATCTTTCAACTCACCAGAAGGTTTTTTCGATTTAGGCACTGCATCCACCTCACTGATGGATGTCATGATTTGTCAGAATGTTTAATCAGTGTCAATACTACTAGTATCTGAGAATTTCTGAATAATCAATTTATTCTAGTTCTCGACTGCCATTTGCAAAATATAATCAGAACTGATAAAAGCACACATATACGTCAGGTATTACGGAAACCATTTGTTAGTGATCATTTTCATTGATGTTAGAAAATTAAAAGCTGATGCACATGTTACTTTGTTCAAGGCGCACATGTAAAAATCAACCAATCGAATCACGTCCGATAGCTATACAGGCATTTGCACATGAAAAAGTTTATAAGGTTTGTTCGCGTCGCATGCTCCAACATGCTCCTATTCGCTCCAACGCGATTTTTTTCAATGAATCTTTAATAAAACTTTAAAATTTTTTAAATAAATTTTTTCAATAAAAAAAAGTCGCACTCAGTGCGCACTAGTGCAGGCTACCGAATTCGCTGTTAGGGCGTGATGGGGCGAGTAAAGAGCCGTCTACAATGGAGAGTTGTAGGCCGTAACAGTAAGAAATTGACAAATCACAATCGATTATTCTTCTGTACTTTGCCTGTGATTGGTCAATTTCTTACTATTACGGCCTACAACTCTCCATTGTAGACGGCTCTTAAATGGTCCACTGAGCGGACTGAGCCAGTGATGTAAGATCTTGCACCCTAGCACCAAGAGCACCGAGGTGGTGGGAGCCACTGGGAATACGCACACAAGCGAGACCGCCGTCCGTGTGTGTGACGTCATGCACACGGACGGCGGTCTCGCTTGTGTGCGTATTCCCAGTGGCTCCCACCACCTCGGTGCTCTTGGTGCTAGGGTGCAAGATCTTACATCACTGGACTGAGCCACAACTGCGCCAAACCAAACTTTTTGCTCTCAGTCTTCTCTCTACTATCGCAAAAATTCTTATGAGCCTGGCCGCTCTCAGGCTTATCTTTTTAGTTTACTGAGCCATTTTTTCATCAAACCAACCATCTCAGGTTTTTCTCAAACGGCAACAATGATCAAGCAACATTTACCGGATAATTGGATTGTTGTTAATTCCAAAAGTTATCCAGACAAGATTTATTATTTTAATGTAAAAACAAGCCAATCTTCTTGGAATCAACCTACACTGGAGAAATCAAATAAGGTATTTTAGTATTTAGTAATTGAAATTTCTACACTTTTGTCGTATCTCTGTAACAGTTGTGAAGTTCTTTGATGTATATCACAACAATAGTGTTATGAGACTCTCGAAGAACTTAGGTGTGACCTTATGACTCAATGTGTTTATTATTTAGTCAAGAATATACTATTTCTCAACTTTCTTATTTCTCTCTTGTTTTAGATGTATCATTATAATAAAACATTAATTGTTAAGTATAATTATTTATTCTGTTACTGTTTTTTTTTCCGCTTTCGTATTTTTTCAAATGTGTTAATATTTATTTTATAGGCATCTTACTTAACCAAACATTCTAAGCTATCTAATAAACAAGGAAAGTTTTCCAGTAAACAAAAATCACATGATAAAATGGTAGAGACATCAAAATCAAGAGCACTACAAGAAAAAATGTCTTCAAACACAAAAGTGATAAGCAAAGCTACATCGTCTTCATCTTCAACAAGTTCATCTTCAACAAGTTCATCTTCAACAAGTTCATCTTCAAGTGTGACACAGAGTAATACATCATCGAGTGTGCATAGCACTAGTAATAAAACACAAACATACACACCACAAATGTGTGCTCTTCAAGAAAAAATTCAAAAAAAGAATTTAAATACATCTAATAGGAGTTCAAATACATCTAATGCAAGTTTGTCTAGTAAAAGTGCAAATACATCAAGCACATCTAATCCAGATAGATCAAAATCAATTATTAAATATAAAACACAAGAAGAAAGAAATACCGAAAATAAAAGAAGACATTATTGGAATAAAAATGGTACTGTGCAATATATATATATATATATGTATATACATATCAAAATAACAATTATAGTTATAAATTTGTTTATTGAAAAAAAAACATCACAATAATCTACAAATCAAGACTGCATTTGGTTTTTGCAAGCGCAACAATGTTTTATTGTGAATTTTGTATCGATTTAGCTCTGAATTACTTTTTTTTACTATATTTTAAAAAAACAATATCATAGATTAAATGTTGAATTTTATGTATAGGAAAAAAAGAAGAAAATTATGGGTTGAGGAAAAATTTGGCAAAAGAACGTATGCAAATGATAAGGAAACATTTAGGTCTTGATAAAAAGAAGTGTAAAGAAATTGGTCATGTCATTGTCGACAAAACACCTTTCCAAAAATCTAATACCACTGCATCTTGTGGTAAGCAGATACACTCTTAGTTATACATTTTAATTATATTTAAAATGGTCTTGTAAATATATGTTTCTAATTTTACTACTAGTTTTTGAGATAATTGTTTTGTTACTATTACAGATAATAACAACTTTAGATCCACATATATTTATAAAAATGCTGAAGCGCGACTAAAGAAGTTACGTGATAGACTTATGAAAGAAACCACATATGAAAAAAACACAGTCTTGCAAAATCAAAAAAATCAAGAAAAACCTGAGATAATGACCAGTGACAAATTAATAGAACAAGCAAAGCATGAAGTTTTATACGAAGAAATGGATTGGGAACCAATGAAGGATGAAGAAATCACTTTAGAGGTATTTTGTCAATGAAATTTATATTACATCGACAATGTAATTTTTTTTAATTGTATTATACTAATAATTATTGATTGTTGTAAATGGATATTTATTTTACTGTTCTAAAAACATTTTTAAATTGCACAAATATGTCATGTATACGTATATATTTTTTATACATAGATCGAGGTTGCTAGAACACAATTATGTAGAGAGAATCATAAAAATACAACAGACTGTATATCAGAAAATACAATAGAGCAAGCAACACAGTCTAACAATGGAGCGGAATCGTCAGACAAACCCCCAATTTACATCGTTGTTGATACAAATGTTTTTTTAACAAATCTTCAAATCATCGAAGAAGCAAGAGATGCAATATTTAAAAATTATTCATGTTCTTATATTGTAATTGCATGGACTGTCATATGTGTAAGTACATGACATAATATACTGAATACATGAGTGTATACTACATTCTGTTGCGATCTACGTTTCACAATTAACAATTATTTTCTGGATAATTTTTTTTTTAACAGGAACTAGATTATCTTAAAGATTCGAGACGAAGGCTTGAATTAAATGCAAAAGTGAGAAAAGCTATATCTTTTATCCACGAACAATTTTCTTCTAAACATCCACGTGTCATAGGACAAACACAAGAACAGGCAGCCAAAAATAAAAAAAAGTTTGCTATCACTTGTCCCGATGATGATATCCTACAATGTTGTTTACAAATTCAAAAGTTACAAAAACATGTGGTAAGAGAAGTTTTGGTTTTTCTTCTCTCTTTCTTCTCTATTATAAAAAGTTCATGCCAAGAATCAGAGTCAATCATTTATTTCGATGTTTTTATTGTTGATTCTTTTCTGTGACGCTGATTGGTTTTCGGCTATTTACATCGCAACTTTAATAGAGGTTACATAGGGATTACATAGTTATATTTATTATGATTCGCGGATGAGATAATATCAAAAACATATGAGAATATATACAATAATACACACATAAATAAATATATATACACACACACACACACACACACACACACACACACACACACACACACACATATACATTATAACGTCAATGGCGTATTGTTAAGAAATATATAATTTGTGTTGTGACTTCTTGTGTAATATATTACATGTGTATGTATACACTTTTATTGGATACAGGTTTTATTATCGTATGATAAGAATTTATGCACTAAGGCAATGCTACATAATATGGTGATCGTGGAGCGTAAAGATACTCTCGATAAAATAGATACCATAATCAAACCAGACAATGAAACAATTAGTCAGTCAAATCCGTCAAGTAGTGTGATTAACAACAATTCATACAGTTCCCTCTTTAGCGAAGAATTGCGTTTAGCAGACAATATTTTTGTGAACATAAAGGCAGTAATGAAAGATTTTTTGTCAACGGTATGTGTAATGTGACTAATTGTAAGTTCGTGGCCATTTTATTTTCATAAGCTCTTATATCTGACATATTTATTGTCCATCAGATTATCAGCAAACAAATGTCGATGATTTATGGAGAAGCGGAATGGCAAACGTACGTTATCATAAAACCACCGTGGACTATAGTAACTGCGTTAAAATGTGCAATAAAGCACTGGATTGCTGCTGTAAGCGAGGCATTCCAGAGACGTGCTGAACTTTGTCTGAAAGAGTTGCTTCAAGCTTTTGAACATGCACCAGGTATATTTATATGTATATTATATGGCAATAATGTAATACGATCTTGCACAAACCTGATGTAATACGGAAAAACTTGGAAAAACTTAACGTTTCACCAATTGTAAATCTTTTATACACACACGTATATTACAATAAAAAATTTTAAATAGTTAATTATTTGTTAATTCTTATATATAATAAAATTTTATAATATTATAAAAGTTAGTAACTTATCTTGATATTACTTTCAGATGGTGGTAGAAAATTAGAGAAACTTGAATATATCTTAGAAAAATGCAATGACTTTGTACAATTGGCAGATACAGAGAAATATGGCAATCTCATAACAGAAACGATCAATACCATCATTGTAATACTTTGTATTATACATTAAAATATATTATAAATAAATAACCATATATATACACATATATATATATATACATATTAATAAATAATACAAGTAATCAAACTAAAATATTTTTAGATACTTAAAGAGAAATGTCGAAATTATATCGCCGAAATAAATACAAAAAAATTACATGAAAAAATAGGCTTTACCGACAATATTCAAGAGCAAGAGGTCAGAGCAGCAAGAACATTTCAATGCTTTGAAAACATTTACAGTTACACATGTGACTTTTGGTAAGATTTTACTTATGCAAATATCTACTAATAAGATTGTTGTCGCTTTTTATGATTTTGTAATCGGACAAATTTATTGTTTTTATAATAGCGGTTTGGCGTGTAGCATCGCAGGAATGCCATGTATGATTAATTTTAAGCCTATGGATCCACCATTATCAAACACGGATGTAAAGAATATTCGACCAGAAATCACCAGAAAAGTAATCGATCTGACGCAAAATTTAAATAAGTAAGTTAAGATTTATCATAATATCGACAAATAATATAGTAACACTAAAAATTCTTTCTTTCTTTTACTTTTGTATTACGCGTACAGTTTATATTAGGTACATATTATATATAGATTTTGTTTGTATATGTGTTAGGTTACTGACTCAAGCTGAGAAGCCTGTAAAATATCAGACATTGGTTAATTTGCAACAAAACTTGAACACATTTTTGCCTGATAAATACGATAGAACAAAAATGCCATTTGATGTGGAACTGTTGGATATATATTGTTGTTTGAGACTGAAGGAAGATATATTGAAAAATGGATTGAGACAGTTACAAGAACTAAGTGATCACTTCTGTGCCTTAGCTACTCGCACGTAGCGTGTATACAGTATATATGTATATATGTGCAGCTTCTTTTGTCGTTATTTATTTTCAATGCGATCTACTTATTACAGATATATCTACGACAAAATGCGTATTTTTATACTTTGAGAGGTAATACAATAATAATATTTTAAGTAATAACAAGTAATAGTAGATTTATTTTAAAGAGTATAACACAATATATCGAAATATATATATATATATTCCTTACAAGTTACTATAAGTCATTATGTGTGTTTTGAATTTGTGATAGTCTTTTATTCAAAGGTAAGCAAATCTCGTAAACATTTATTACTTCAAAGAAAACATTTTATATTTATTATAGGTAGAGTATAACGGTTGTTATAACAGTTATTAAGACAAATTTTATTTGTATTGTATATGTTTACATTTAACGCGATAATCAAGATAGATAATCAAGACTTAGGGAGCGCGTCACAAATTGTAGATGTTTCTAGTCTCTCGAAAAGACTGCATAATTTTGAATACTTACTTTTCTATTTTATACAAATATTGTGAATAGTTTTTCGCACATTGTTGTGTGTGTGTGCGTGTGTGCGTGTGTGTCGATATTATTGTGTAATATAATTTGGTTCATAGTTCTTTATAAAAAAATTGATGAGATAGTTTTTTATAAAAAAATTGTATGGTTTTTTTGTTTCAATGCTTTGACATACTATAGAAAAAAATGAACAAATAATAGAATTTTGTAACAATAATAGGCAATAGTTTATATTTATACGTATATATGTACATATAATGTATATATTAAGTATAATAACGAATATTATATCGAATATTATATCTAATTTCTATAGAGATTCGGAAAACCATCATCAGGTGGTTGAAGCCAATTGTCCTTTGCATAGGATACGTGTTTTGTCTCTATGACGTGAAAAGTATAAGCGTGTCTCGAGTTTTTGCTCTTGTTTGGATAAGAGAAGTGTACCACTTGGCCGTGTATAAGAATACAGGTTCCTTTGCTCACTGGTATTGGCCTAAAGTTACTTAACGGATAGCAAGGCGCCGCTCTGTCGTAAATTAATAGTTCTTGTGAATTTTGATCTTTGTTTCTTATGTAACGTCTGTGCACTCCACTTTGGTGTGAACCTGGGGCAATCCATAAACATCCGTTTTCCTGTGTAGCATCTTCGAGTGCAATCCAAAATCCGACAAGTTTTACTGGCTCAGTATACAAATACGATGCATCTTGATGCATAATAACTACAAAGAAAAATAACAATTATTTGACACAAATTATTTAATTTTTTTATTATTTAATTTTTTCACAAACGAAATTAAACTACAATTATAAATCAGAAAAATAATAAATACATATATAAAGGCCGATATTTATATTTTTCTGATTATATGTATAATATTCCATATTATGTTACAAAATTTCTAAGTAGTTTATATTTCTCAATCAATGTATTCTATTATATATTTTATATGTGAAAAAAATAAAGTATAGGTATATATAATATAAATTTAATTGCCTTCCGATCCTGTTCCAGGATTTTTGTAAATATACATTGACTGACACACAACTGGTTCTTGATAATCTAATTGATAAGCAGCTTCCTTAATTCTTTCGTCAAAAGTGTATTTCTTAAAAGTAGGATGTAACCAATGAAGAGCATGACCTATCTGAAAAAAGTCAAGTATGAAAAATAAGCACGTGTGAAATTTTATATTAGAATTTATTTAGGTAGACGTAAGATCTGTTTAAAAAATTGTGCGTTTACTTTATTTAATGACACTCTTGGATGAACTTTCAATTTTCCGTCTTCTTCCAGAGCTTCAGTCTCAAAAAAAACACTGATTTTATTAGCACTGTCTAAAAAATACTGATCCTTATTCTGAAACAAATATAAAGCACACGTATAAAGAGCTTTCTACTTTCGTAATTATTAACTTTTAATACCTGTTGTAGCTCTATTGTATTAAATATTTTTCGTTCCGATTCAGGTGGTAGCTTGTTCGTAAATTCTTCTCCGCAAGATCGCATTTCTTCGATCTCTTCCGGTTGAAAAAAGTTCTCCAAGACGACGTAACCATTTTTCTGAAACTGTTAATTCCATTAATAAAAAAGTATGTTTTATGTGTTGTGATTTTATGTATATATGTGTGTATATGTATGTATATATGTGTGTATATGTAATGTGTATAATTTATGTTAAAAACAACCTTAATAAAGACATATTCAATAGAAATTTTTGCTGTAACTTTAAATTACTTTTCTTCACATTTAGTGCAATTCACAATTACTAACAGTTAACTGTTAGTAACTATGCTAGTGTAACTATGCTAAATAAATTTTATTAATTTATTTCTCTCAAACTTTTTTCACTTTGATATAATTTTATTTTATATATTTAAATTATATTTAAAAATACGCGCGCAAAAATTAACTATTATGTAATGAAAGTTTGGAGATAAAACTAGAGATAATGTGTTGTTTAATTTGTGTGTGCTGATTTAATTTATTGCTGGGACAAGAAAAATTATACTACCGGTCAAAGAACCTTCCTTCACCAATTTGATGATTAATTGATCATTTCACGAGCCGTTGTTCGGCTTGTATACTATTGGATACTAATACTATCATCGATGGCGTTTGAGTGTGAATATAAATAGACCGTGACCAATAAAAACGTCTATAAGATTAGTCAAAGGTATTACTAGTCTCAAACGCCGCACGAAGCATTTCCGGAGTTTCTTTGGTGTGTTCACATTTCCGTTTACTCCTACTGCATATATTCTTTAAAAAGAAGAAATGAAACACCTGATTAGACAAACTCGAAACAATCGCATTATATTCTGATCCTCCGGAAATGTAAATACATTTTCGTTTGCTATAGCAAAACACGAGTAAAACACATTGTAGTGAGAGAATTTTAATTTAAAGATTCTTTTGTTTATCGCGTCTTCTAAAAAAAGAGATCAGAGTTTCATTAACAGTTTTGTGATAACAAAAGATTTTATAATTAATTATTAAATTGTTATTTGTGTGAACATTTTTTTAAAATAGAAACCGAGTTGACATACTAGTTGACGCGTATATAACAAATTATGAAATTTTCACAAATATTTACACACACATATTTCACGACAGATACAATTAATCAATTTTTTGACACGCGCGCGCATGTATGTGTGTGTGTGTGTGTGTGTGTGTGTGTAATAATTTTTCTTTGCAGAATGCAAGCTATCGTAAAAAATTTCAACCTGCCTCTTTTCGAGAACGCGAGCATATTGCGAGCGTGAATCCGATAACCAAACTCGCCATCTATCATATAAGCGTATATCGCGTGCATTAACGCGAAATTATGCGCGCAAAGCGCATCCCGAAAATAACGTAGCTGCCACCGACAGGTGGGTGGCAGTCTACGTCATCTCTGTCGTCGTCGACGTCGCTTTTTCTGGAATTTCGCCCGTATGGACGAATGACTCAAATAGCGAAAGCGTGAATCGCGCGAATGGGAATAGAAACGCGGACATCTATCGTGGGCGTTCATTCTCCCTCGTTTCGCATCGCGAACAATTAGTAAGCAAGGTCGCCTCTTTCGTTATTTTGCTTGTTTATAATAAATAATATTTTATTTATTTGACACATTTGCATATCATTATTTTATTTCTATTTGTTTATTTTTTGTTTTTATTTTATTAGATATTTTGCTGTAGAAAAACTCGCTTATAAATAATAACAAAATGTGTAAAAGTAACGAAAATTTGTTTAGATATTAACAGAGATTGAAACAGAGAGTTTGAACACTGACAAATTGATAAAATGTATATATGAATTAAAATGTATGAAAATGACAAGTGACGTTGCTTCCAACCCAGATACCATACGCAAGAATTCTTACAACACTGCGAAAGCATCAATTATTATATTTTTTTATATTTATATATATCATATTTTCTTATATTTATATATTATCTTTTTTTATATTTATATATTTATATATTTTGACTTTATATATTTTACTTCATAAAATTTAGTTAGTTTTATATATTTTATTCAAGAAGTAGACACTTTTTAATGTAATATAGCAATTATAGCAATAATCAAAAATACAAATTGATTAAACAGTATGTAAAAATATCGAAGTTCAAAAGATAACCTCCAAGAAAAAGAAACCTTATCTTTTCCGAGTTATCATGAAGACAGTTTTAGATAATTGTGTTGCTCATTCGCTGATAATGCTATTAAAATAATTTTGTTACTCTTAATCTTTGGCGCTTAGCTTTACAAAGACATGCAATTAAAACTGTTCATTTCTCTCTGAGATCTGCCGAGTGCAGAATTGAATAAAACAATTAATTACAAAAGTTATCAAAGCTCTCGATCACTGCATTGTATGAAAAGATTGTAATATGAAAATCAAAACTGAAAAAGGAAAATTGATATATACCTGTAAAAAAAAACTAAAGGAAAAATAAGAATGATTAATTTATTAAATAAATACTAAATAAAAAAACTTTCTACCTCAATACGAAGCAAAATGAGATACATTATAATTTAAACCGTTTTGATACTTTGTTATTTTTTTAGTGATATTATTTATATTTCTGTAACGTAATAGATGCATTCATGATCTGGAATACATATCTGTATATTTGTGTAAATATTATTTGATATCAAAGAATATATTATTTTAAAAAATGTCGCTATAAACTATACAAAAGTTTAACTTTTTCTTTTTAGTTTTTCAAATGTCATCTCCATTCACGTGTCATTTTTGTTCGTAAAGCGACAACTCGAATCTTCCTGTTTGATATAACGATATCAAACAAGAAGACTTAGGATTTTACGAGACTCACCTGCGAGCGAATATCTTTCATTCTGTTACGTGTATAACAAGGTCGGTTTCACAAATCGATTCCTCTTGTGCGATCCCGTTTGCTCAAACGCGAGATAGAGTGAACTTTGAAAACGTCCGCGGCCGACTACTTGCACCAAATGACTAGGTAAGTGTTGCGAGTGTTCGATCCGAGCCAGGCTGTCTTAAACTCGTTTAGAGTAGCCGACGCGAGAGTGGCGTCGTCATCACCGAGACAGGAATAGTGGTAAAAACGATTTTCAAAACACTCGAAGATTTATTACTTGATGAGTCAAGAGATGAGTCTCTCGGTGTAACAATAAATTAGTGTCCACTAGTTGACTGTAAATTTATTCTGTTAAATATATATATATAAATATATATATATTTAATAGAATATATATATATATTTAATAGAATAAATTCTATTAAAGTAGATAAGATATACATCGATATAATCGATAATAAATTTAGTAACATGTAAACTCTTAGAAAACTTACTTCTGAATATGAACAAATAATACACATGTTAGGTTGCCTCTTCCCATGGAAACCGGCGCCGAACTAACGGCGAATAATTCTGCGCGCTTCGCTTGCGTGGACTCGTAATTTACGCGAGCAGACAACGCGAATTTATTGAAGTCGAATTTCTCTAAATTTCGAAGAAAATTTTCTCTTTCCGGTTATAGAACGTATTTTTAAATTTATCTTCCTCCGTTTCTTTGTGCGTGTTCAGCCTTAATAAATAATATCTAGGTTTGTTCTTTATCCTTTCGTCTAAAGATAATTCTGTTCATTCGTGTCTTTTTGATTTTACGTAGCGAAAAATTCACAGTTGCAGCATTGCGTTTACAATATAAATATAAATATTTCTTTTTATTTCAAAAAAAGTCAATAATTTACGATGTAAAAAACACCAACGTTTGTCTGAGATTAAAAAATTTAACGACAAAAATATGAAGACCGGCGAATTGTATTCGAAGAATACAACGAGACTGCCATTTGACTGTAAGCCAAGCCAGATGTTGACTTAGTTTCTTTTTATACCGTACGGTTTAGCTACGGCATTATTGCGCTATTACTGCCGGGTGTTGGGCATTGTTGGAACAGTTTAACGGGGAGAAGTAACTCCCGGCAAATGAGGCCGTTGTCCACCGGTTCGCCGTGCGTAACTTCGTTTGTTGGATGAAAATCCGGATAACTTCGCGTTTGCAATATAACATCTTGGTTCGTTGCCAGATATGGTACACTTTGTGCCTTAACTCTCGTCTCGAATTAATTGTAACAAATGCGCGTGTGCGACTTTCCGTCGTAAATATTTGCAACTTAACTTTAAAGTATGACATTAATTCAGCTTTCTCTTTCATATATTAATATGTAAATATTAATACACGAGTAAAACTATTATTTTTACCTGTAATAATTAATAATAATTAATACGCAGAAGATACGTGAAGATGCGAAATCGTATTCATCAGTATTTTAAGACAATCTTAAATTTTTAAAGTTTAAAAAATCTTTTAAAATGAATTTAAATACAAAATCGGACCACGACTACTGGCACATAATTTTAATAATATAAAATATACTTGAGAGATGTTATTATCAGCAAACTTCATTTGCATGTAATTTAGAAATTGACGAAAAACTTTTGACTGATTGAACCGATTCGATAGTTCAAGCAGGATTCTGTTATCTTAGGAACACATATACCAAAATGTAGATTATAAACCGCGTATCGTAGAATATATGATAACTCAAACATTTTGAAAAGTGGAAATTGCCAGTTTTGCAATGACACCTTTCACTTGTACTATGATTAATTCTTTAGGCTTAGACTTAGACCAACACACGCCAACAAAAAAATCAGATAACATGTTTTCGCATGTTGATGTGAAAACTTGAGCAATCAGCAGAAATTTATCGTAGAGGTTTTTGAAAATTTACGCGGCGAAAAACTCGCCTCTGTGTTTTCGATCTTAATACTTCTATACATTTATAAATCTACACTCTTCTTGCAAAAACTTGAATAAAAATTAAATTTTTATAAAATTTAAAAATATTTTAATCTTATGATACACATTGTAAGAGGTTTCTTTATAAAAACTCGAATTATCATCTCTGATTAATGAAGTGTAATTGTTTGTTCAGAGGATCGCTTGAAGTTATATGTAATTATTGGGTAACACGCGGTCACATTCGGTCATTCGAGTTAATCGTATTATCAGACTGATTTTGATGTAATAATTCAAATGTTTTGTCAGAAGATGTAAACATAAAAAAAAATATATCTTATCTGTCCTAGAAAATTTATATTTAGTTTGTTGCACCTAATAGTTAAGAGTAAAAAATTTACAAGTACAAAACAAGCGTTTGATTTAAGGATTGAAGTTATGTTATTATATATATATATATATTATTGTGGCCAACAATTAATTAAAAATGTTTAACAAAACGCGATAATTATTTGTGTGATTACACGTACACAATTACATTGTTCTCTTGCGCTCCTACACATCGAGTATTAGGCGTATACTTTTGTGTATATGATATGGTAGATATTTTTTTATCACATTAATAACATAATTCTCGAATCGCAAATAAAAATATGTATAAATGTTAAAAAGTAACGAATCATTGTGGCAATGTTTTTATTTTATCATATCAATTTATATACCTACATGCAATGATTACCGACACATGTCTGCATTCTGAGCAATTTATCCTCATACGTCTATGTCCATATCTCTTTCTGATATGAATACATTTTGAAGTACGTAAGTTTTTTTTTATCAGACTCTGATTTGATTTAACGAGGTCTATCTAGGTCTTGGTTAGTTAAAAATAAGTTAATAAATTTTGAAAAAAAAAAAAGATTACACCGCTTGACATAACGGTTCCCATGTCTCGTTTCACGAAAAATTTGTTTCACTTACGCGTGTCTTAAAGTACGACCGAGAAATACAGAGAATATGAAGAAACGAAACAATTACTGTTATTGCATCATTATTATATATTATATATTTATTATATATTTTAAATTTTTGTCAAAACTACTTGTTTTAGATCCGACCCTTTCATACGTTGTGTATAGATACATACTTTTATAATATCGAAACGTATTAGAAGAAAAATATTTTGTACAAATTTATCCGATCAAAATCATGCTTCTTTATCCTCGACCTTATCACCTTGGCAACAACGTTAATTTTTAACGCGATTGTGACAATGTTGCAAGAAGAAATTTTGTTCGCACGCGCTATCCCACTCAACGCGGATAAGAGCTTGATGTAATAGGGGGAAAGTGGGGGTAAAATTACATATATATATATATATTGAGACGACTTCTTCTGCTAGACGATCGACATCACCGTGAACATTCTTAGTAAGTTCTTCGTCTTTTAAATCCAACATTATCTTATTCTTTTTCAAAACTATAGTATTCTTCTGTTCTCTTTCTCAAATGCTTGCTTCGTAGATCACATTGCATACAATTTAACGAAAAATCTTATTTAGCGAATGCTCTTCTAATTCATCCCTGAGATTCAGTTATTTCTTTGTTAAAGACGAAGAGTGCGCACTGATACAACAATAGTCAAAGTTTGAAAAATCTCCGATTACTCGACTCCGATCGTCAGTACTTCGCGGAATCATTTGTGTGCTAGTCCACAAAAGTACCACATCGTTCAGACACTTACGAGAAACCGTCGCACCGTCATCATTCAGAGAGAGAGAGAGCAATCGGCACTGTCTTCTGCACGCAAGAAATTCATCGTCTAAAGTAAACAAAGCTCTCTCGAAAGAGAATTTCTAAGTGAGTATATTTCATATTTTGCAAGTTATACAAAAAGCTGTTCTGTTTGCATCTTATACGACCAAAGATGTGTATTTTTTTAATAAAACAACTATATCAACGGACAGACAGCATTTTGCAACAATATTTTAAACGAATATATTTAAAAATTTCGTTTTTCTTAAATCTTTGCAATTCTTCTGTTCCTCGATCATAAAGATCGTGAAAAAATATCGTATACTACTTATTCGAACACAAAATACTTCACATACTTGAAACACACTAATAAATTATTTTAATAAGATGCTATTATTTTAACAAGATGCGAGCGCGAATAGTATATCGCACTTTTAATATCCCACTTGTTTTATTCGAACACCAAATACTTCACATACTTGGAACACACTAATAAATTATTTTAATAAGATGCGAGCGCGAATAGTATACCGCACTTTTAATAACCCACTTGTTTTATACGAGACATTTATCAAAGAACTAGTGTCGGTATTTATACGCAAATGTAATAATTTTGTCAAATTTTCTTACATACGTGCTGTTCAATCGATCAAGACATTTCGTAATATTGCGATAAAAATTCTCGCTCGCACGACGATTTCGGCGTAACATAACCCGCGCGAGGTCGAATTAAAATTGATTATATTTATAAGGTTGCGACTTTCGATGTTTCTCCATTCAATAGTGATCGCGATTTCGTTAACTGCGGTTCCATCAAGTTTCCGACGCTTGATATACAACGTGTTAGCGTAACTCTCCGCGCGCTCTCCGAGCATAAGTGTGTATAAAGCCGACGTAGCACTATCCGTTGGAAAGGTGCGAAAGCACCATATGGCACGCATTTCTACCGTGAAATTTCCAAACAGGGTTCTGACACACGCGTACGTACAGTGAGAAGTGACGAATTGCCATCAGACGTTAGTACGATTAAACGCTGACAATTCCTCGTGGCGTATATACAGAAGCGCGACTACATCCTAGCAATGATGAGGTCGTTACTCAAATTAAAGGAAGAGCCGGTGAGACACGTCGAACGTACGTTGCTCACTCTAATATATATATATATACATAAATTTCTCTCCTTGTGTGAGACGGTGAAATTCACTTGGTTGAGTTTATTGAGCAGTTTACTTAGCGGTTTGATGCGGGGGAATTGTTGATTTTGTGTGCTCATTTGCGCCGGAACCGTCGGTGCAGCGGATAACATTGTTGTGTATAACTTCGCAGTAACTTCCTTTATCATTGTAATGCTGATAAGTCATAATAATGTAGTTTTTCTTTGTGAGCAACGATTCGTAAACAAGAGGTTGTTGTTCGATGAGTATATCTCCGAGGGATATCTGAAAATATAGAAACACACTAGAATTTCACATTTGTCGTGGATGAAGTACAAATTACAAAGTTCACCGTCTTTTCGCGCGTTTCTTCTTAAACACTTTCGATCACTATCGTTAACGTTCGTCGTAACTGCGGGAAAACATTTAGAAAAGTTGTGCGTTACCGAGATGTTATTGCTCCGTTTGCGATATGCGATCACCGTTGAAAGTGTTAAACAATGCAGAGAAGGATTTGTGTTTGACATCGGTATAAAGATGTAATCCGGATGAGCGCGAAAAAAAAAAAAAAAAAACGGAATTAACGCGTTCTTGAAAGATTTGCGAGGTGACGTGATATGGCACGTGCGCTCCAGAACTCGAACCAGAAGAACTTGTATTGGAAACAAGGAGCCGAGTAAAACTTTGCCGAGCCGACTAGTAAATAGAATGATTATGCCATCTGCGATCTGTGGTCTAGCGCGATAACAACATCATCATTTTGCTGCGCGATCGCCACGCGACGACGTCCTTTCTCACATTCTCTTTACCTGCGATTTATTTTCGTGAACTCTCTTGACAATTCGTTGACTTATCGAGACTAAAGTAGCATAACAAATACTTACAAGAAAAAGTGTTAAAAATAAAAGAAAATAGCGCATAAACTTAAATAATTTTTTCAATATTGAAATAATCTATTTTTTTTTTTTTTTTCATAATTCAGAATATTTGTCAGTTTGCGTGTGTTGCGTCTGAAAAGAGACTTCACGAGACGAAACAATCTTTCGATGGAACTTGGTTCATTTTGCGTTTGTTTCGAAAACGCGATAGATAACACACTTGATGGTGTTAATTCTGCACGCGATATAATGAGCAGTTATCATAGTGAATAGTTTCTATTCCAAAATATTTCTGAGGATTACATATCTTAATAATCGAGATTCAGCGTTCGCACACATCGTCAAGCAGCTTTATTTAACCGAAACGCGATGCGACAATATATATAGTTTATTTGCCAGGATTAATGATCCATTACAAAATACAATAGAGATATTTATTATACTTGATGCGTTAAGTGATACGGAATCCTGCGATTATTCGAAACGGATTTTACGTTCCTCTTCAATATCTCTTTTATGACAAACAGCGAGATTACATATTTTATCGCTAATAATAATTGCACATTAACTGGAAATATGTACACCAATTATTTATTAGGGTCAACTTTCTCTCTCTCTCTCTCTCTGATTGTGAGCTGATAGGATTTAATTTATAATTGACGTTAAGTCAATTGCTACGTCCGATTTGTATCTCGTGAAAATTTATATATAATTTATAAAACGTTTGGAACATTTACTTATACAGTGAGATTAATATACAATGTTATGATTTTTTAGTATCTCAACGAGTATAAAAAAAAAAGGATAACAATGAAGATCATTTTTATGATATTATGTATAATGTTTTTTAACTGGATGTTTTACGACGCAAACGCATACCCAAATATACGCAAATTAAATGAGAAAAAGTTTTCTGAAGATAACAATATACCAGAAGAAACTAATAACTTTGTAAATGGTGCAGCAGTATCGACTTATGTGTGCGTTTACATACCGTCGGATCTAGAATATTGTAATTTTAATAAGTAAGTCACACACAGAAGATATACAGAATAACTATTGACATTTTTCTCAATTTTAAAAAATACATAGGAGAAAGAAATAGATAGATAAAGAGAAAGATTAACATTTAAACACCTGAAAAATTTTCAATTTTAGTAACAAGAATAAACCCCAGGATAAACTGCAGAATTTGGCACACACATTTTCAGAAAAGAACAAGTTAACCAGCGACAAAAATAAAATGTATTCGTCATATCTGTCGATGTACGATACAAAACCAGAAAACTTTGCAAGACAAACATCTGTAAAAACTATAGTGTACGAAATACAAAATTGCATACCGTCGAGGTAAGAATATCAACGAGATTTTTGTATAAATAAACAATTATATTTTATGCATTATATTTTAACGATAAAAAAAAAAGAAGTAGGAAAATATAATAATTCACGATCGACTGTTGACATTTACTGCATAAAGAAGAGACAATACAACGTAGTACATAAAAAAGCATATAACATTAACAGAGTGTACATATTACATATGTTTATTTTACAGATTACCTTTTGTTCTACCTTTTTGTTCGGAAGAGGACGTGTCTAATAAGAAGAACGAAGTCCAACGACTTATTCCTTTTATGGTAAACGACTTTGATTCATATGAATTCCCGGCGCTTCCAAAACAACTTCGGAAATTGCTTCCATACAACGATATGTAACAATTATATCAGCGATCCTGATAAATAATATTTAGTGGACAAAGGCGCTTTTATGAGAATAAAATACGAAAAGAATATACTAAAAAATGTTTTATAAAATATTTGATATATGTATACATATATGTTGCACTTTAATACACACACAAACATATATAAATACATATATATATATATAAATATATAAAATATGTAAAATACCAAAAACATATGTTACATAGAAATTAATAAACTTCTTATCTTTCTTTTATCTTTGTATTTTTATTCGTACGTACAACACAAAAGATGAAACTTTCTCGTTTTTATTAAAGAAGGAATTTTTCATAGTTACATTATCCAAAATTCTTGTCACGATCGTGGCTTTATATAAGCGGTTTTCTTAGCACGTGTGCCATTTATAATGGCGTGATGCCCGTGTCCATAAAAATCGGAGATACATAAGATACCTCACGTTTCGTTTATTGCGCATCATTGGTCATTCCTCGCCCTCATCGACTTGTGAACGTAAATGGCCTTATATTTCTCAGATTCACTCGATATATGTCCTCTTCAGACCATCGTGTTCGTATGACAATCTCCACAAATCATCACGAATCCTGTGTGGTCGATTTTCTTTTCCCGACATTCTAGGATTTTAAATTTGTCGCCCATATTCTCATAACAGACATAACATCCATTAGATGTCTACCGAAGGTCCATAACTCTACGTGACATCTAATAAACATCTAGAGAGGTTTGTGCAAAATTTGCTATTGCGTATGGGTTGTTACTTCCAGTAATTTTTAGTTGAGTTTAATTTTTAGTTTAATTTAAGAAGCATATAAAAATAAGAAAAATGTGCAAAATGATAAAAATGTGATAATTGATATAATTAAAACGACAATTACATTATCGTTTATACACACGTACATTTTCTCATACATTTTTCTCGATAATTTTTTTTACGACCAGATCTTTGTTGAAAGAAAAAACGAAAAAGTATATACTTTATAATCATTCGTTGCATTACAATATTTGCGATAATTTTGCAACACTGTTTTATCTTTTTATTTTATACTTCGAGCTCATTAAAACTAATTATATGTATATATATAACGTATCATTAACGTATTATTTGACACGGAGCAATGATAAGAGTATAAAAAAGCTGGATAAAATAGTATAATAATATTGCCAATCACGTTAGCAATAAAAAAAATGTTTTATTTAAGAAGCTTTATATCTCTCCGCGTTGCTTCGCGAAGTTTGTCACTAACTAAACGTATATATGTAATTATATATACATATATAAAAATTGGATAGCAAAAAGTCAAGTGCAGTTTTAATTGGAACCACTTTCTCAATTTCCTAATTAACTCTGCTTGCGTTATCTTTTATCGTGGTTTTAAAGTTGATTGCAACAAGTATATATTGAAAGTATAAGTATATTATAAGTATATATTGTGAAATATATATTTTGCAAATGAGAGATAATAAATGACTATATATGTTTTATCGTTGTATAAAATGATAATAGAATCAACCGACTTCTGAACTTCTGACGAAGAAGTTTATACCACTATGTGCTCTTCATGATTGATGTGTTCTCATTTACTTGTTGCAATATCAATTTTAAAACCACGATAAAAGATAACGCAAGCAGAGTTAATTAGGAAATTGCGAAAGTGGTTCCAATTAAAACTGCACTTGACTTTTTGCTATCTAATTTTTATATATGTATATATAATTACATATATACGTTTAGTTAGTAACAAACTTCACGAAGCAACGCGGAGAGATATAAAGTTTCTTAAATAAAACATTTTTTTTGTTGCTAACATGATTAGCAACATTGTTATACTGTTCTATCCAGCTTTTTTATACTCTTATCATATTGCTCCGTGTCAAATAATACGTTAGAGATATATAATTGTGTGTGCACACGTATTTTAAGAAATATACAAACAATTGTCGTACGTCGTAAGGAGTGCAAGCTTACGATTCAATTACGTATTTACTGACATTAAGTGAAATAATAAAGACATTGTCCGACACATTCCACATATCTGCATATGAACTTTTCATGCAAACTTTTCTTAATAATTTCGCAATGTTTTTGTTTAACAGATATTTCTGCATCAGACTAATAATTATTGATAAATCTAACAAATCTTCGTGACATAAATGTATTTACAATGGTTTTTCGCAGTTGATGCAAATATCTTCAAGAATCGATCAGATGAAGCGCCTTGATCCGTCCGACAAATCGATCAATTGCCGTTCGATGTTTAGGTTACGAGCTTTTGCTCGTTTTCAGGCGCAACTTGCAGGTCCTGCCGATTGTATCCATCAATTCTCCACGGTCGTCGATTACTAACTCCGAGCTGCAACGCGTCGACAACTTCGTCAGACAATATCTTAGTAGCGCTAACGACCCCTTCCGCGTTTCCCCTCGAGGTTTCGTCCAGTTTAATTGGTTTCGTTTGACCGAACTCGACCCCCTCAAGTCCCTTCGCACTTCGGTGCTCGTATTCAACCTGCGATTTTCTTGAAGCGGAACACAGCGGGACGCCTTTACCCGGGTGTCACGCACAACTAGATTGACGCCATCTCATCTTGTTTCGATCACCTGTGTTTACTCCTGTAAAGTCGAAAAAAAACAGCGAGTCAAATTTCCACAAACACACATCTGACGAAGAATATAATACTAAAATATAAGAATAATATTAAAACAAGACTTTTTGTTATCAACTTTACACAGTTGTATAAAGTTGATCGGTACAATGTTGTATTTACGATCTGTTACAAGATGCACTATATAGCAAAGTGAATTCGAGAGGAACTGTGTTCTTCTTCATAAACTTTGTATTAAATTAACTATGTGTATATAT